AGGGGGAGAGAGGGGGAAATGGAGAGATGCTTTCCAGTGGGCCCCCTAGACCCAGGTGACAGCAGCAGTCTGATTTCACCCTTGAAAAAGCCTCTGGAAGCCCCAGCCTTTTCCATTCTCTCAGCAGCTAGGAAAGAAGGGGTATTTGCTGAGTTCAAAGGATTCAATACATAAAAGTAAATTAAGTGTATCACCTCATATGTTGATATTTTTATATTGTCAAGGCCTAAGACCTAGTAGTATTGAGCATACCTGGTCCATGTTAGTCACTGACACCTTGAATCACTCCACAGATCTGTTTACTTGGATTAAGCTCTACATTTATTTCTAGGAAATAGCCATTCATAAAGAAGAATTTCATCTGAAACTTTTCATGTGTGTGATTCAGTCTCGCTGGTTAGTCAGGACTCCTCAGAGAACAGGTATAATTTTGTCCTGATCATAGCACGGTATCAGAAAATGGGTTCTCTCACAGGAAACCTCAATATAAAATGTGAACTTGCCAGTGTAATTGCTTAAGGGATTATTCCATTCTCACTATGATAAAATATTTGTCACTGAGTCATGTCTTTTCCTTGTACAAGTATAGATGAGATGTTGGCCTCGTATGTGGTAATAGACCCTGAGCAGAGAAGCAAGAGTTGAAAGGGAGCAAAATTTATAGCTCATGAGGTAGTCATTGATTTCTCTGTCCTTTATGAATTCTTCCAACTTGTCTAGGCTTATCTGTGGGAATCCTACTTTCCATTGTAATTGATACCCCAAAACCTGTAAGATAAATCAAATTCCCCCCCAAAATTGGCCTTCTTTTCCACCCTAACCTCAAAATATGTAGAAATGTATTCTGCATGGCCTCTGTTTATGTTAAAGGAATAGAATCTTTTTGAAGTAAGATAATTGTTGAGAAATGTCATCACTTTCTTGTTTATATTTATGGGGAAAAAAAATCCTGAACAGCTAAGAATCATAGGGGAAATGAAAGGGTGTAAGGAGCAGTCCTTTCCCTGAATCTCCTCTTGAGGGTGACCTACAACTATTGCTTCTCAGCTGGGGGAAGCTTCCACTTCCAGCATGCTCATACCAAAGCTACGACCAAAGACAGATACCTTGGAGAGTCTAGATACTGTGGATGATCCAGATCCCATGGAAGGCATACCTGTTTTCAAAACTGGTGAGGCATGTGGGTAAACAAGGGGGAGGGGTGTGGAAAAGATTATTGGAAATTGAAAGGTTTGTACATAATTATATTATAAATCAGAGTAGACTTACCAAAGTTGAAAGGTGAGTTAAGACACAAGGAAGAAAATGGTTTGTATGTGTATGTGTGCATGGCATATGAGAAAGAGGCAGAGAGAGAGAGAGAGAGAGGCAGAGAGAGAGAGGGATCCTCTGGAAAACTGTAGAAAGAGGAGCACCTCTCTGTGAAGAATAGCTTGGTTTTCTCAATATTTATATTAGTTATTCTGTTGCTATTACAAAGTACCTAAGGCTGAGTAAGGTTTAAGGGGAAGAGGTTTATTTATTATTTAGTTCAGAGTTTGTGAGGCTAGAAGGCCAAGATTGAGAAGCTTCATTTGTTCAGCCTCTAGTGAGGGCTGCTTTGGCTGAGTCCCAGTGTGGCAGGTATTGTCATGACAGGAGCATGTGAGAGAAGGAAAGATCACATGGTGAAACAGGGAGCCGGAGAGTGGGGAGGGGCCGGTCTGGCTATTTTATAACAAGGGGAACTCACCGGGGTCCCATGAAAACTAATTACTTCCCCCAAGCACTTCCTCCAGGGACCCATTTACCTTTCATCAGGCTCTGCCTCATGAAGATTATATCATCTCTTAACACTGAGAACCATGCTTCCAACACATGAAACTTTGGGAGACACACCCAAACCACATCCAAACTACAGCAATAGTAAATCAGTTGGTGCCCTTATTACTGTAAGGTTTTACATAATGGTCAGCGACCTTGACTTAGAAAAAGGTGAAACTTAGGATCTGATTAAATTAAGACATTATACTATGAAATGATTCTAATTACTATAAAGCTTTACCTTTGAAATCCATTTAATAACAAATTTCTCTTGTATATTTTAAATAATGTTCAATTTTATTAGTAATTTATATGAAGTTTCAGAAATACATCTGTATGTTTTTTCTCCACTTAAATACATCTGTATTGAAGTCAGTTCACTAAAAACACTGCTTGAGTTCTCACTATGTGCCCAGTAATATACTAGAAATGATAGAAAGGTTAGGAAACATGTGTACAATATAAGACATATTCTTATCATTGTTCCAGTACTTACAGTTTGAAAATATCTTAGCGATTAGCCCAAATACCTTATATTTTATAATTAATTCAGGACTAAAAAGGTCTTCTTCAAGAAGTTAGCAATTTAATAAACACCTATGAAATATATAGCAGTATTTATTCATGCTATTTTGAACTCTCACTTTTATTGTACTAGGCTCAACAGGAGATGAGAAAAAGAACTACACACTTTCCCTGTTTCCCATGAGCTGATGATCAAGGAGGAGAGATAATATGAAATAACGTGTAAGTTAAGAGCTTGATAACCGTGGCTCAAAATGTTGAATTTCAAAAGAAGATGGCATAGAGATGTAGAGATGGGAGGAGCCAGGTGACTGCTTAGGCAGAGCTTCCTAGCTGCAGCTGAGGCAGGCCCTATAATCCCTAATTTAATGCAGTTGTCTTAGTAAACTCACAAGAAAATGGCTTATGTAAAATAACCTAAATTTATTCATATACTTGGGCAGCTATGTGTGGTTTATGTTCCTTTAATCATACTTGCTTTATCCATGCATAGAAAGCAGCTAGTAACAGAAAATAATCTCAGCTAGTAGGTTTGTACTACTATTTCTTGAATTTATATTGACTGTTTCCTGTTTTCCCTCAGCTTTCCTCCTTTTCTTATTCCCATTTTTCTCTATTTTTAATACTTGTCTCAGACCTCCTTTCCCCTGATGACCCATTTGGACCTGCTTCTGTAGTTTGAATTCACCATTTTCCCATAGACAAAATGTTAATGTTCAGCTTCCGCCTTTAAACAATAGTTCCTCAGGTAAGACCCGCTAATAACCTGTCGAGCTTTCCCACTAGAGAAAAGGAATCAAATATCTTCCCAGCCCTAATGGGGCCTCCAGTCCTCCTTTACTAGTTGCCTCCATTCTTCCTTCCCCTTTCTTTCCTTCCTTTCTCCCTACCTTCTCTTTCTGTCTCTTTCCCTCTCTTCCAATTGAGGGAAAATTAGTTGTGCACATACAATGTTGGTCACTTACTTAGCACTGCAAATAAATAGTAAAACAGATAAACTGGCCCATGAAGTTTATAGTCTTGTGGGAGTAAGGCAGTAATTACATAATTATGTACAGTTACATAATTAGAATGATGTTAATGCAATGAAGAAAAATATCATGTAATCAGCATTTAAAACAGGGAACAACAGCTGACCTGGGAAGGAAGGAAGGAAGGAAGAAAGGAAGGAGGGAAGGAAGGAAAGGAGAGAGGAAGAAAGAAAGAGAGAGAGAGAAAAAAGAAAAGAGAAGAGAAGTGAAGAGAAGAGAAAGTAAGCAAGCCCCTTAGGAATGTCTACAGGATCAGTATGCACCAGCAGGCAAAGAGGGAAGAAGAACTTTCCAGAAAAAAGGGAAGAGTAGGACCTGAATTAGCAAGGAATTTTGCTCATAGGAGGAGTAAAGTGGGCCAGTAAGACTTGAGTGCCATGAAGAACAGCTGGAAGGTAAACTCTAAAGACAGTGCAAGAGCCAGAGTTTATGATGCCTTCTAGGTCTTGTTAACACCTTTGTGATATGGGAAAGTCTCTGAAGAGTGACCGGATCACATTTGTATTTTAAAATGATTGTTCTGGCTTCTGGGTAGAGGATAGATCAGAGGGGAACAAGAGTGTTTACCTGCTCTGGTGAGGTGGATGCCACTACCTCACTCTGTTCCTTGCTTCTAGACAGAGCAGCCCCTCCTCTAGGGCCCCCATGAGGAACTTACACCATCAAATGACACAGGTAGCTAGCAGAAGTGAGCTCAGAGCTACTAATACTCTAAGCTGCAAAATCCTGATCTACTGATACTCTTTTACTTCTGCTGTCCTGGGAAATCCATAGGAACTCTCCTAGCTCTAAGTGCAGCTACTTGTAGAGATGCCAAGCCCTAGTCCTCGAGAAGTAGAATAGAATACATGTTGTTTCTTGTTTCATTCCTTGCAGGGAAGTAGCTGTGGACGTTATTTGCTCTAACTCGTAGGCCATTAGTATAAGCAGCTCTGCGTGTACTATGATGAGCCAGCTGGTCCTGAACTAGGGTATAGCAAGGAAGTGGGTCACCCTAGCTTCACCCTTTACCTCTGTGTCCTGGCCTCAAGCCTTTGTAAAGAAAAGCGATTAGCATTCCAAGATTCCTGAGATGCTGCTAAATATACTATAATGCACAGGAGTCCCCTACAACAAAGACTTATGTACCTCAAAATGTCAATATTGCTGTGGTTGAGAATAATCTGTTACTCCTCAATTATTTCCTACAGTTTTTGTAATTCTTGTGAGCACTCACACTAGGAGAACAATTTTTCAAAGTAGTTCTTTCAGAAAACATGTGAAAAGTTACATTGCTGATAATCCCAATTTAGAAATGACTTCAGCCACAGTTCTCTCACTTGTGTATATGGGAATCCTCACTGAGAGTGAAACTCCAATGGAATTTTCCAGTGAATATGGGATTGTATTTATCAGTCTTTCATCATGAAAAGAGATCCTAGCTCATTAATTTTTAGCCTTTATTTTCAAGATTATGTTGCTATAAATAACCCTTGTGCTTCATTTTAAAGGGTTTGTGTATAGTATTTTTACTATAGCTTCATTCTTGATATTTCCTTCTGAGTAACTTACTTGACCAAAGGCATATGTAGAATTGTGTTATGTGCTGGGTAGTATGGTATTTCTTAGTACCTGTTTGTTACTAGAAACTAATTCAAATGCATTGTGATCAGAGTGTGTTGTCTTCTTTTGTATGGGTCTTTTTTGTGGTGATCTGCTGTCCAGCGAACCATGGCATACACTTCTAGTTGCCTGCCCAGTATCCATTCTCATCTTTTCCCGTATCAAAATAATTCAGTTTCTGTCAAACTAGTAAGATGTGTTATTTTTTAAAAACTTCTTACAGGTTTTGTTGAAAGTAGTACAATTCATGTCCCATAACCCTGGCCATTGACAAATAAGCAGATGTCATTGTATGGGTTTCTTAGAAGAACCCTCTTTTTAAAAAAATTTTTTTAGAAGAACCCTCTTGACTCTGTTGAAAGAGAGTGTTCCTTACCTGGATTCGTCTTTTCAAATTTTGTTTGTTGGCCTTCCCTCTGCTTCTCACTTTTGTGAGATGAGACCCACTATCTAGTAAGTGTTTAAAGATCCATCTTGTGACCATGAGGGTGAAAGCTATAGTCTAAGGAGTATACCACAGAAAAGTCATAATGATCTTAGCCTCCTCTGTGGCTTTTCTGAGTGTCTGCAACTAGTCTTGGATTTGTTGCTTACAGGTTATACATGAGTGAAAAATAAAACTGACTATTGGTGTTAATTGCAAAAACCAAAACAAACAAAAAGCCAAAATACATAAAAGAAAAGAAAAAATAGCTGAGAGTGTGGGACAACTACTTCTGAGACAAAAGCTCCGAGGTAGGAAGTAGCTTTGTGGGCCAGGCCCTAGTTCAGCAGATCCAACTGCCCACTAGACCGAAAGCCTCCCCTGGGCATAAAGAAGACTTCACAAATGGGCACTCTGCCTACTAGCCAGTGACTCATACGGCTACCTCTTTTTTTTTTTTTTGGTACGGGGATCAAACTCAGGACCTTGGTCTTGTGAGGCAGGTGGCAGCACCACTGAGCTAAATCCCTGGCCCTCTATGGCTACTTCTTATTGAGCTGTAAATGGTAGAGCATCCCAAAGGAGTAATGCTATACCACAGCTCCTTTCTGGAAGGTAAGATCTTACTAGTATCTTGTTTTTCCCTTTATCTAGGCCATCTGCCACCAGCATCACCCATTCCCCCTGCTGCCCTTCTGGTCCTTTGAGAAGTACACTCATACCCAGGGGGTTTATGCAGACCAGAATATCTGAAGTTATCCTAACATTTTGAGTGCAACTGATATGTAGAGATTATGATTGCTATCTATGGCTCAGATTCCTTCCAAGGAGGTATACTTACTTTCTACATCAAGGACCAGATTTTCCATATATATATGCTATGTTGTAGAACTTCAAGAATCTGGACTCTTGCTGAAAAAAATGAGTAGAGTTTTTGATGACAGACTGCATATACCACAGTAGTCAGTAAGATTATAATGGAGCTGAGAAATTCCTATCACATAATATTTTACAGTATCTTTTCTATGTTTTGATATGTTTAGATCCACAAATACTTAACCATTGTATTACAATTGCCTACAGTATTTAGTACAGTAACATGCTATATAGGTTTGTATACAGTCTAGGAATAATGAGCTGTATTGTATAGCCTATACTCTATATCCTTGTCATTTAGTGACACACGATTGTATATTCTCTTGGATCACCTTACTCTGGGTAGTCCCAAATCAAACTACCTTTCAGTGACCTAGGAAAACATGCTTAAGAGCCTAGAGATATATTCCTTGGCCACATACCTGCTAAACCGCTTAGGCTTCTGCATTGTGCTTGATGAGGTGTTATCGGACCTGAAGTGGAAGATTTCTGGTATTGTCTTACACAATTGATTATTTGTCTTCTCTACCTGACATTCCCAAAAGCTTACTTCTTTAAGGAAAAAAAAGTATCTGGTCCAAGGTTGAGGTTGCATATCTCAGCTGATAAATTTGTCTACCTGGGACTTCATTAAGAGTTGAAAATGGCCGGGGATTTAGCTCAGTGGTTCCGCCACCTGCCTCATAAGCACAAGGTCCCAAGTTGGATCCCCAGTACCAAACAAAAAAAAAGAAGAGTTGAAAATGGTACCTTCCTCTGACCATAGGGGTCATCTTGTTGCCTCTTCCTCAAACTTTCCAAGTTAATCTCAATTGACATAAACGATTCCGTAGGAGCCATTTTGTCTTTGAGGCATACAGATTCACTCTTTTTTTTTTTTTTTGTACCGGGGATTGAACTTGGGTCCTTGTGCTTGCAAGGCAGGTGGCAGAACCACTGAGCTACATCCCCGGCTCCAGATTCATTCTTTAAGTGATGGTGTCCTTGGACTGCCATAGTTTAGAACAATGGCTTTTATTTATTTTTTGTTTTTAAAATTCTTTTGGTATTGGGGATCAAACTCTGGACTTTGCGCTTGAGAGACAGGTGCACTGCCCCTGGGCTAAATCCCCCACCCAAGAGCAATGGTTTCTAGATTTTAACTTATGTCAGAATCACTTAGGGCAGTGGGGGCAAACCTATGGCATGCATGCCACAGCAGGGGTATTAGTTATCATTGAAAGCTCTAAAAGGTTCACCATCACTGAAGGATTTGTTAAAACACATTGGTAGCTGAGCATAGTAGTGCATAGCTGTCTGTAATCCCAGCATTCTGGGAGGCTGAGAGAGCGGAATCATAAATTCAAGCTCAGCCTGGGCAACCTAATGATTTAGAGAGACTCTGTCTCTAAGTTAAAAAGAAAAAAATATATATATATATATATAATAGTATATGGATGAGGATGTAGCTCTGTTTGAAGACCCTGGGTTCAATCCCCAGTAGCAAAAAAACCAAACAAACAACAACAAAAACATTGCTGTGTCTCGACCTCACAATTTCTGATTCAGTAAGTCCCAGGTAGGGCCCAGGACTTTGTGTTTCAAACCAATTTCCGCATCATGCTGATTCTCTTGGACTGAACTGTGAACCATTACTTAAACTGACTAGGATATGCAGACAAACAGCTTGCCTATGCCAAGTGAAGTGAAATACCCAAACAAGTCCTCTGTCAGAAACTTGTATTAATAACTGGTGGAGGCCGTTCTGTCTCCAGGGATCAACCTCTCCCACCTAAAGCTAAAGTAGACTCTCCAGTGTAGTTAGTAGTCTCACACCTGTGGCCAGGATCAGCCTTCTGGATCTTACAGTCTAGTGGGGGGAAACAGGTAATACACAGCCTATTAGCAGGTAATGACTAATAAGACCCAGAGGTTGTATTGAAGTGAAAGAGCCAGATAGATACTTGTTTCAACACAGAAAACCCATACATAATCGCTGTGTTTTACAATATTAACCCACCAAGTCATTGTAGTCCATTTATAATTCTAATTCTAATTCAAAGGAAATCTTGGTGTTCCTTTGATATGAGAATCCTAACTTGTCACTGCCTCAGACTTTTCCTATTCTCCCTGAAAGCTTCTAAATGTCATATCTTTAGATTTTTCTGGCCCACTCAGCTTAAGATAACACCCTTGTTCCTATACTTCTTTGCCTGCTCTTCATAGCACTTGTCACTACTTTATGTGCTTTGCTTGCTAGCATGTAAGTTCCATGAGTACAGACAGAGCTTTTTTGTTTTTCCATTTTGGGTCCTCTTGAGCCTAGAATAGTGCCTAATATATAACAGCTGTTCAGTATTTGTTGCGTGGAAACATGAAACCTGTAATATATTATTTGTTTTTCTCTTGGGCCACACTTGGGTAACCACCACACCTACTTCTCATTCTAAAATGCTCTGCACACCATTATTAATATTATCATCAAATTCTTTGTCTTCTCTTTACAGCGATCTTGATATAGATCTGTACCCATTCCAAGTCATGGTGGTAGTGTATGGATTCATGGACATGACACAAAACATTTCTTTATTGCCCTCATCTATGTCAGGCTCTGCCATTCATTGTAAAAATAAAGATCTCTTGTCTATATGAACTGCTCGACAACCTGGTAGTGATATCTAGTTGTATCCTGGTTTGGAAGTTATTGTCCAAAGCTCTCCACATCTTCCTTTTCCTGTCTATGACATACAGAGGTAATAGACAGAGCATAGGAATCAGGGAGGTTAGAGCAGGAGTCCCCAACTCTTTTTTTTTGGTACTGGGGATCGAACTTGGGACCTTGCGCTTTTGAGGCAGGCGCCAGAACCACTGAGCTAAATCCCTGGCCAGGAGTCCCCAACTCTTGAGTCAGACCAGTACTGGTCTATGGCCTGGTAGGAACTGGGCTGCAAAGCAGGAAGTGAGCAGTGGGTGAGTGAACAAAGCTTAACCTCTGTTTACAGCTATTTCTCATAGCTGAGATTACCACCCAAGTGCCGTCTCCTGTCAGAACAGTGATGGCATTAGATTCTCACAGGAGAGGGTCCTATGTGAATTGCATGTGCAAGGGATCTAGGTTGTGTGCTTCTTATGAGAATCTAATGCTTAATGATATGAGGTAGAGCTGAAGCAGTGTGCTAACACTGGAAGTGACTGCAAATACAGGTTAACATTAGCAGAGAGGTTCAACTGCATGGAGACCATAAATAATCAGTTGCCTGCCAACTCATATCAAAACCTGATCAGTGAGGGGCAAATGACAATTGAGCTGTATCTGGCGGCAGGCTTTATAGTTGACGTACTTCAATTATACAGATATATCTGGTGGCAGGATTTAAGTCGGAATCTGATACTTATTTTAGTCCATTCATGGCCCATCCACTATTTTATTTACTACTCTCATCCATGCCTCTTTCCTGCACTGCACACTTGTCTCAGTCACAGTTTTAAGTCCACAAAGTAACCCTAGTGAAACAAATGTCACATGTCTTTGAAATGGAGGAAAGACCAAATGATGAGACCACAGAAGACTCTAAGAATGCCAAAAAAGGAAAGCTGCATTTCAAGGAAAATATCAAGTCCTTAAATTATGGATTCATTGCAACATTCGCCAAGCCCACCTTTTATAATATGCAGTGACCAGCCAACAAAGCCATGAAACCTTCAAAACTGCTTTTACCACATGGACACTAAGCACTCTTTATTTTTTTAAAAAAAGCCTTTGGAATTTTCAAAGGAGAAACATGAACATGAGGAACAAAACAATTATTGCAGACCATCACATCATCAAATGTATTTGCACTGAGAGCATCATTCTTAGAGGCTAAATGCATTGTTAAACTACGAAGCCCTTTACTGTCGATGAAGGGTTGGTTCTGCCTCCTGCTAAGGACGTTTGTCATGAACTTTTAGGAGAGGCTGCAGTTCAAAACCTGACATGTTTTCCTCTATCTGCTAGCACCATAACTAAATGAATTGACGAAACAGCAAAGGATATTGAAACGTAATTGTTGGAGAGGATTAATATGTAACCATGGTACATAAACCAGGTTGATGAGTCTATCAGTGTTGACAACAAGGCAGTAGTGCTTGTTTTTGTATGATATATTTTTCAGGATTATGTACACAAGGATGTGTTATGTGGCCTTTTGTTACCAGCCAATACCACAGCTGCAGAACTATTCCAAGTCTTTGAATGATTACACATTAGGAACACTGAATTGGTCATTTTGTGTCAGTATAGGCATAGATGGAGAAACTGCCCTGGTTGGATGGATGGCTTTCTGGTTTCACTACTCAGGTCAAATAGGTTGCTTCTCAATGTGAGTCTATGCACTGTGTCATCCACAGAGAAATACTGGCTAGCAGAAAAATGTCACCTGAACTTAGCGATGTTTTACAGGATGTGATTAAAATTATCAGCCACATTAAAGTACATACCCTTAACTCATGTGTTTGTGCTCCTCTGTGAGGAGGTGGACATAGACCACACATCTTCTCTTATACACAGAAGTGAGATGGCTTTCTAAAGGTAGATCACTGGCCAGTGCTTTTGAGTTATAAGAGCTGCTCCAGAGATTTCTTTTAGCAAAGCAGTCCCCACTGGCAGCATATTTCAGTGACTCAGAATGGATCACAAAACTTGCTTACTCGTGTGACATATTCAGCCTGCTCAACAAACTCAATTTGTTACTTCAGGGGAGAATGGCAAATGTGTTCAGGTCGGCAGATAAAGTGGCTATATTCAAACCCAAACTGGAATTGTGGGGGTGATGATGAATGAACTTTAAGATTTTTGAAGTGTTTCAAACATTAGCAGAGATTTTTAAACACCTAGAGCTTGCTTTCTTCCAGCTGGTACATGATCACTGATTTCAGCTTTTAAAAGTGTTTGGGTATTACTTCCCAACCACAAAAGACCCCCAAACTTGGAAGAAATGGATCCATGATCCATTTGTGAATAAGTCAGATGAATTGACTTTGTCCACGCTAGAAGAAAAACAACTGTTTGAGATCACAAATAACAGTGGTCTTAAAAGTATGTTTAATGATAACTTCATATTTCTGTACTTGCTGCATTAAAGTCAAAGTGGAATATCCTGAGATTGCCACAGAATCACTCCCAGAAAGGACTTTCCAGTTGCTGAAATATAATCTCAGAGCTGTCACTGATTCTATATTACGGTGAATGGGATAGTAATTGCAATATATATATATATATTTTTTATATATATATATTTTATATATATATAAAAAACAATGTAATAATAACAGAAATAAAGCACACAATAAATGTGATGTGCTTGATTCATCCCAAAACCTCCTTCCTCTCAGTCTATGGAAAAAATTGTCTTCTATAAAATTGGTCCTTGGTTCCAAAAATGTTGAGGACCTCTGGTTCAGAGTATCTCACCTTCTCCACTCCAGTGCTCTACTTATCTAGCTGCTAGGGAATTGTCTTTAAATATACTTCTCTCCCACAAAGTGCCTTCTTTCATAATAATTATAACTTTTCCCCTATTTCTTACCTGACTTCACACCCTAATAACTGGCAGAAACCTGGAGAGGTCTAGGAAGTCTAACAGGGCCTCTGCATATTTTCCTGTACACTGAAGGTCAGCACAAAGAATATGCATTTCACTGGTGTGTACTGGTGCATGGCATAAGGTGAGCTAGCATTTGGCTCTCTCGTACACATTAGCTTTACTTGGCATGCTAAAAATAAGAAGACTATCACCAGGTAATGAAAGGCAGAGACAATGGTAGACTTTAATCTCATGACTTCCTGCCTCCATTTGATCACTTCCTTATATATTCAGTCTTTATGATCAATCCCCACCCCCCCACACACATTCCCTCCCAGGTTCAGCTACCCTAAACCTTGAATTCTAACTACCAACCTCAAAAACTGAAAACTGGGTATATTTTGGACCAAGTCTTAGCTTTCTAGCAGCCCTGTGGCTAAGCCCTCTATGCGAGTCATTGAAACAGACACACAATGTCTTAAAAAGCCTAGTAGGAAGCCTCACATTTTTCTCCAATGCAAACCAGCACCTATCAGCTTTCTCATTTGGAGGGAGGATCTAGGACATCCCTTTTTAGCTCTATTAAATCACATCAGTGATAAAATAATCTTGGGATGAGATTATTCCCGCTATTGGCCTAGTCTGGTTGCCTCAAGAATATATATTTCATCACCTTTTGTTTGCCTATATAACTTGCTGCTTTATTCTTATGGTCTGTGATCTTCTAAGCCTTCTTGGACCTGACACAGCATCCTAGGTTTTATGACAATGTTTAGACCCCCGTCTCAGCACACTCTCCCTTAATCATCACTCTGTGTTCATTTGTAGTCTTCACGCACCAACACCCTGCCATAAAGAACACTTCTCAGCCTCTCCATTAGAGGGGAGTATTCATACACCATAGGTAGACATATACATATATTTAGAACTGCCCAGATCTCAAACATTCTCTCCATCATTAGTCCACCATAAAATTATGAGTTCAAATTTTGATTCATAATGTAAGTCAACCATAGCTAGCTAAAATACCTTGTTCAAGTTGTCAAGACTCCTGGAAAACCATATTTGAAATTTGAAAGTTGTTTGATGAACAGATAATTAGGAAAAAGGAAAATGCATAATTGTGGAGTAGATTAGGATTAAAAGGAGACAAATCTGTTTTTAGTGGGCTGTTCTTTCATTGTATCATCCATATTTCTAATACTGGAATATTTGCACCCACTGATAGACTTACCTTAAACAGTACCGAATAAATACCACCAAATTTTACTACTCAGATATTTTTTCTTTTTATTTCATTTGCCCTCAAGTAATATGTTTATGTCATAAGAATTTACATACATCACAGATGTTAGTAGGATTATTGATTTCTTCAGTTATAGTCCAGGTCCAGTGGATTGTAAACTTCCTAGAAACAGTTCCCATGAGCTATCAAGATCATAAACTCCATGACAGCTTATTATAGCTCAGTACCTGGCACAATGGCTAGCATATGACCTCAATAAATACATGTGGAATGTATCAATGAATTAATAATAAATAAAAGTTTCTCAGGATTCTTATCAAGAAGATGTTTACAGTCACTTCTTAATATGAAATGTTTCTTCTGTCAACTACTCTATTTTATATTGGTTTTTTTAAAAACTAGGTTAACTCTCATAAAGTAGCATCCTAAAGTTTGGAGATTCCACTGAGACAACCATAGGCAAGGCCTGAGTGCTTCTGAAAAAGTTATCCTTTTCTAGGACCCCACCCTTAGCCCCAACTAACACTTTAAAAAAAATAGTCATCTTAATGGATATGAAATGGTATTTTTTTAACATTTAAAAATTAGTATATGTTAACAATACATAATGAACACATTCATGTTAAGGAGTTGGTACAGATAAATATTCATCTTAATCCTTTTTACTTATTCCCTTCTCCTCAAATGAAGTGAGTGGTTTTCATTTGCCCTTCTCTAATGTCTAACGGCGTTGAACATTTTTCATGTGCTTCTTAGCCATTGTACGTCTTCTTTAGAAAGATGTCCACTCAAACTTTTAAATTTAAATTTTTTTAATACCACGATTTTATTTCGTATTCTGCCGAACGTATCTCTTTTTAAGTCAGTAGACTTTATTTTGAGAACAGTTTTAAGCTTATAAAAAATTACCCTATCGAACAGAGCATTCCCATATACCCTGTCTCTACCTTGTTCATATCTTGCGTTGGTGTGGTAAATTTGTGAGGAACCAATATCAATACATTATTATTAACTAGGTCCATGTTTAATGTTATATTTCACTCTGTTTTATGGTTCTAAGAGTTTTGACAAATTCATGTGTCCACCATTATAGCATAATCCAGAAGAATTTTAATACTCAAAAATCTCCCATGTTCTGCCTATTCTGCCCACCTTTTTTTATCCCAACCTCCAGGTAACCACTGATTTTTATACTGTCTCCACAGTTGTCTTTCCAGAATGTCAGATAGTTGGAATTGTACAGCATGAATCCTTTTCAGGCTGCCCAATCTACTAAACAATATGCATTTAAGGTTCCTCCCTGTCTTTTCATGGTTTCAAAACTCATTTCTTTTTATTGTTGAACAATACTTAATTGTATAGATGTGCCATAATTTATTCATTCATTTTTGAGGGACTTCTTAGTTGCTTCCAGTTTTTGGCAATTATGAACATACATTCATGTGCAGGTTTTTCTGTGGACATCATTTTCAACTTATTTGAGTAAATAAGAATATAACTGCTGGATCATATGGTAACACTATGTTTAGCTTTGTAAGAAACAGTCAAACTGTCTTCTACGGTTACTGTACCTCTGTGCATTCTGCCAACATTGAGAGTCCCTTTTGCCTTGCATTTTCATTAACATTTGATACCGTAAGTTTTTTGTTTTTTTTAATTTTGGCTACTCCAAAAAGGTGTGTAATAGCATCTTACTTTTAATTTGCAGTTCTCTAATGACATATGATGTTGGACATATTTTCATATGCTTATTTGCTGCCTGTATATCTCTTTTGGTCAGAAGAGCTGTTCAGATCTTTTGCCCAGTTTATAATCATGTTTTTGTCTTTTTATTATTGAATTGCACGAGTTTTGTATAGGTTCTGGATACAGCCCTTTGCTAGATATATGATTTGCAAATATTTTCTTCCATTGTGTGGGTTGTCTTCACTTTCTTTTTTTTTTTTTTTTGGTACCGAGGATTGATCTCCGGTCCTTGCGTTTGCGAGGCAGGTGGTGGAACCACGGAGCTGAATCCCCTGCCTGTCTTCACTTTCTTGATGGTATCATTTGCAACACAAAGATTTTTAATTTTGTGCAGTCAAAATGGTTTTATCCCCTATTCACTTGTATTTTTATTGCTTGCAGCCAGGATGTCCAGGGGTAGAACCAAAAGTCAGCAAGAGGGAGGGCGGTGTTTCTCAAAGGCAGGGACTCAGTCTCATTTATCTTTTCATTTCTCAGCACCTTATACAAAACTTGGCTCACAGGCTCTGAATAAATGTTTGTTGGACGAGTGACGAAGGCGGGATAGGGCCAGAGCGGGGTGGTTTGACTATCAACTGCGGAAGATGTTTGAAGGCAGTCTCAGGCAGTCCAGGTCGGAAAAAGTTGTCTCTGCTGAAAACAAGAGAAGCAACCAAATAATTTCTGATTCCTACCACATACAAGAACTGATGACTCCCAAGATATACATGAGGACCGTAGGACCTTCTGCAAAATAAGACGCTGCCGTATCTGGGCAGAGTTCTTAGGGGGAGGAGGAAGAGGAGGAGAGAGGCGAGAGGGGGAGGCGGAGCCTTCTGGTCAGCATCAGTTAGTGGAGGTTGGGAATCCTCCCCTTCTCCCCCGCCTCCTTCCACCTGGCTCCTCCCCGAGTTCGCCAAGCTCCCCTCCCCCTTTCCCCAAGGACAATCTGCGAGAAAGCCGCGACCGAGGAGAGCTAAGACTGAAAGGCAAGAAGGAGGCCTTGGGGGCAGAGCGCGGGGGAATCCGAGAGTGAGGTGGGAGTTAGTGTGCTGGGAGGAGAATGCGGAAAGAACTGCAAAAGCCGAGGGACAAGCAGAGGTGATAATGGCATCAGAAGCCGGAGCCCAGAGGGGGATGGGCTGAAGAACCCTAGCCCCTCGGTTAAGCTCCCAGCGCTTGCACGCGCGGCTCTGTTCCCTGGGAATCTCGGAGGAGTGGGTGGAGGCTGGGCAGCGTTGCCCTTGGCCGCCTGACCCCTTCCTTGCCACGCACCCCGTTCTCATCGGCGTTCATGTGATGCCGCCTCCGGAATCTTGCCTCCCGCGTGCTTATACACACACATACACACGTGTGATTCTATTACCTGTGTCAGTCCGTTGCTACATGCGTGTCACTGTGGGTCTATACAAGATGCTTATGTATGAGTCTGCATGTATTTCTGTGTCCTGTGCCTCTGTAGCCGTCCTAAGGAGATTCAGGAGAGGAACGAGAGCTGTTATTTACAGGTCTGCACTCAACCCCCACTTTTGGGGGGTGAATTCTCTCCCCCATTGGAGCCCCAGGGGTGGAAGATTGTTCTATGAGCTTCTGTCTGTGATGAATCTTCTATCCCTGTGATGCACTGCAAGAGAGAATGAGAAGAAACAACCCAGGGAAAAAGAGATCAGCATACTGATGTCTGTTCCTTTCCTTTCCAAGTGTTTGGGTTTTCTCTTTGCTCCAGCTGCTTAGTCTTTTTCAAGAACAGGACTTTGGATGTTAACATTCTAGTTAAGTAAGAGTGGTCTCTCTCTATGCGGGTATATTTCTTTTCCTTTCACTGCTTGTAATTGTATGGTTTCGTAAACCTGGTTGGGTCCAAGTATGTTTTTAAAAGTAGAGAGTATATAGAGGTGTATCTGTATCCAGGCCTATTTTTAATCTATACATTTGCATTTTTGTAGTGTGCATCAGCTCATTAGTGGTTTCAGAAAGGATTTATTGAGCTCCTGTTATATGCACTGACTTCATTAGGCTTTGGTAGGCTCTGGGTCTTGAAAATGAATATGATCCTTGCCCTGGAGGAATTTTCAGTCTAGTTAGGAAATGTGACTTTAGCAGTCATCTAGTCCAGTGGTCGGCAAGTTTTTTAGTATAAAAGGCCAGATAGTAAGCATTTTAGGCTTTGCAGACTAGTGGGTCACTGCTACAGTGTCTACTCTGCTCTGGTTAGTATGTGAGCAAGTGAGAGTAGTATGGACACCAAGACACTGATTTTTTTAAATGGGGTGTGTGGTGGTGCACGTCTGTAATTCCAGTGCTCAGGAGGCTGAGGCAGGAAGATCACCTGAGTTCAAGGCCAGCCTGAACTATATAGCAAAACCCTGGCTCAGATTAAAAAAAGGACGAGGTCTCACTATGCTATGCTTAGGCTGGCCATGAACTCTTGGGTTCAGGTGATTCTTTTCTGCCTTATTCTCTGAAGTAGCTGAGACTACAACCATGTGCCACCACACCCAGCAACACTGAAATTTGAATTTCGTGTATTTTTCGTATGTCATGAGATATTTTTTACAACCATTTTTGTTTGTTATTTTGAGACAGGTTCTCACTATGTAGTTCAGGCTGGCCTTGAACTCACTGTGTAGCCCAGACTAGCCTCGGACTCAGTGTTCTTCCTGCCTCAGCCTCCCAAGTACTGAGATTACAGGCATGTACCACCACATCTGGCTTACAACCATTTAAAAACCATAAGAACCTTTCATACTTTGCTGCCATACAAAAACATGAGAATATCTGGATTTGGCATATGGGCTGTAGTTTGCTGATCCTTGTTAGTCCAAGCTTCTTTTTAGTGCAGAAGAAGCAATTACAGTGCTATACTAAAAAAAGCCACTAAAGTGATATTTGATTGCTAAATGAGTGATCCAGTTATGGACAATTATGTGATCAGGATGTCCAAAAAGAAGCATATCTGGACCTTTGTTGATCAGTGAAAGTGTAATAGGTTAGAAAAGGTGTGACTAGGGCTAGCATTTAATGAGTGGGGTATCTTGGATAAGGGATGCAGAGTGCCCAGGCACAGAAATGGAGTTGAGCAATGTACTGTTCAGACAAGGATGGAGCAAAGAGTCCCTGGGTAAAGATTGAAGCCTTGGATGTCAACCCCAGGAGTTTGGACTTGACCTGTCAGTGCTGATTTTGTAGTAGGTTTATCAATAATCTGTCTGTATCTCTTCTCTCGCTCTGATTTTTGTTTTTTTTGGTACCCCAGGGATCGAACTCGGGACCTTGCGCTTGCGAGGCAGGCATTGGAACCACTGAGCTAAATCCCTGGTCTATCTCTGATTTTTTAAATGATGCTTGGGTTCAACCCCTGGGCCTGTGCTTGCTAGGCAAGCACTCTACCACTGGAGTGCATCACAAACCCTCTCTCCAATGGATCTTTACTTATTTGTAGTACTGAAGGTTGAAATCAGGGCCTCACACGTGCTAGGCAAATACTCTAAGACTGCAGTTACAGGCATGTGCCACTGTACCTGGCTCTATCCCCAGGGGCATATCATAACACTCTGTATGTTTATGTGTATCTGTCTTCATGTGTGTCTCACTGTATGCATTTTATTGGTATCTGTGGGTTTGTGTGTGTGTGACCCATGTCTCTATCAGCAGCTGTCCTGATGTCCCCAGATGCAAGGCAGAAATATGAGCCACCCTTAAAGTTCCTGTTCCTGTACATGACTCCCATCTCCACTGAAGCCACCAGGGCTTGTCAGCTTCCCATGGAGCTTGTGACTTTGACAGAGTGAAGGGAAACATTGGCAGCTACTGTAGCATCAATTCAGATGAGAAGAGGTGATGAGGCTGGAAAGGGCAGGATGCGTAGGGAAGATAATGAGAGAATATAGGATTTGGTGGTTCTTTCGATCCTGAGGGGAGGGGAGGAGATAAATTTTAAAATAGTAGGTTTTAGACTGAATAAATGGGAGCGTGATGATACTGTTGGCATTTCTTGGATGTAAGAGTATGTTTTGTGTGATCCTTTGAGAGATGTAATCCCTAAAAACAAATATATGAAGGTGTTTCCATCACATATGTACATATCAGTGTGTATGTGGCAGTGATTTTGTGTTACTTCTCATTTGATAATATGTGGTACGAGGGGAAAGGCCTAAAGACAGAAGATCAAGAGATGCTCCTAGGCTGACAGCTTGAAAAGGATGGGAAGAGCCAGAGAAATACCCTAGCCGTCCCTAAGACCAACACTATTACTCTGCCCAAGCTTCAAAGTGCTTTTATAACCTCAAAGTCCAGCTTCAATTCTGTATCACCCCGCCCCACTCAGTCACTTAGTCCATAAGACTCAACTCTAGTCTTAACCATAACCCAACCTACCTTTGCTTTTCGGTGTCTACATTACTGGTTCTCAGTACCTTAAACCTCATTTGATTGTTACCCCCAGTGATGACAACTCTTCATTAAAGGGAGGAATATCGGAGGCTAATCCAGCTTTTCTCCTTTCTGTCTCATTTCTCCTCAGTCGACTGCCCTTCTTCCTGACCTTAGCTTATTCTCCAAATAGGTTGCAGTTGGGTGGGAGGGAACAGGGAGAGCTTAGCCAGGACTTCTGCAGTCTTGGCCTTGATTACTGTGACATTTCAGCTTGTCACTCTGTGAGGGTGTGGCTTTACTTTGGAAGAAGTCCAAAGTTCCCGGGCTTCATAGCCCAGCCTTAATGTAGTGGGAGAGTCTGGCTGGGTGGTTGTAGCCAGTCTAACAGACGTTTCTTGAGCAAATAGCTCCTTGAACCAGCTGCTTCTTAACTGAATATTGTCTTAAATTCTAGAGTGGATCATGACCAATGAAGAGCATCATGCAGCTAAAACCCTGGGAATTGGCAAAGCCATCGCTGTGTTAACCTCTGGTGGAGATGCCCAAGGTAAGGAGGAAGGGGCAGAAAACAGAGCTTGAGTTCCTCCTGAAAGGTCTTAACGCCCTTAGACTGTGGAGTAGACTAGCCTCCTGTAGGTTTCCACTGGGATCCAAAGCTTTCCTAAAAATCTCTGTCAGGCCTAAGTCCTCAAGTCTATTTGAATTTTATTTGCTCTACCTTTATTTACCCAAATCTTCATAAAACCTTTTTCCAAGTTTTTGTGAAGATTTGGGGCCATTTTGGACCTCTGATACCTAAAAGGCTAGTATTTTCTCAAGCAGTATTGGAAAGAAACTAGAGATAAAATTGTCGAAAAGGCAGTAGGTAGGTAGATTTACTTCAAGAACTTGGAAAAGAGGGGGAAAGGGAGGAGAGCCAGAGTTGGTATTTGGTGAGCCCAGCTAGAGCTTTGGCTATTAGCTCTGAGTCTAGAGAGTTCCCATACTGACCAGAGCCAGGCAGTGCTCTGATTTCCCTGGATTCCGCCCCCACTTTCCATTCATTTACCCCTTGAAAAATAGGAATAGTGGCGGTTAATGAATACAGATCTACTAGAGGTGCAGGGACAGAGAACAGCCTTGTCTTGGTGAAGTCCAAGAGACCTAGGAGTCATAAAAACCAGGGATGTAGGAAAAATGAAGTGACAGAGGAAGGATCTTGATTTTTTAAAAGCATCTTTTCTGCTTTGATTTTCTTGTATATTCCAATTTATAATATGTTGAAAAGGGCCAGAATCTCTTTGAAAGGTTTACCAGGACACGTGTTACAGGGATGGACGAGGCAAAAAAAAAGGAAGAAAGAGCTTTCTGCTGGTCTACCCTCTCCTCTGTGCCACTGTCCCCAGGCTTTCCTGGCCTTGGCACCAAGCACCTACTTTGTAGAGCCCAATGGTGAAAACGTTGATTTCCTTTGAGAACTTACAGTTTAATAGGGGAAAGATACTGTCTATCACTGGAATTCTTATGTAAGGCACATAAATAAAAACAAACAAGCATGCATTAGTCAAATGGAGTCCACTTATATAATGAAATGGAAGATACTGGCTGGATTAACCAAACTTCACAGAGAAGATAAGTTTTTAAGAAACCAGTCCCGTTATTCAAGTATTTTTAGAAGACTGGCTTCTGGCAAATAATAAACACTCAATGAATTTGTTGTTAATAATTAAATTGAATTATTGAGCTTAATAATTGACTGGCCCAAGCAGTTTGACAGCCGCCAAGGATGCACTAATGAAAAAGACTATCTTTGCTCTTATAATGTCTCTTATTAATATATTAGTAGAACTGGACTTTATATATATATATATTTAAACTAATGTTTGTTTAATTATGACTGTGGTATGTGTTATAAATCAGAGGATTTTGGGATGAAGAAACTAGGGGAAGGCAGAAAGTCTTGAATTCAGGAAGTGACTGGAATAGCAATGCAGAACCCTGGTGGAGACTAGAGACTAGAGACCCACAGCTTGGCTTTTATCACTTTTGTCTTCTCTGCTGGCAGAATCCCATGCCAGTACTGAGATCTTAACGCAAACTTGTGTGCAATGATCCTGGACCTCAGAAAAATTGCCTGTGGACTTAGATTATGAAATTAGGGGAAGAAACCTGCTAAAAGAGTCACATGAGACACACAGTGTGAAATGATGAAGGAAGAGAGCTCTTTGGAGAGGGAAAGAGGAAAGAAAACAAAATAAAACAAGAACAGAGGCTTAGAATTTAGCTTGGTTCTAGGAGCAGTAGAGCTCTTCCAGCTTCTGACCCCAAGCAATGAGACCCTCTCTCTAGGGGTGACCTAGCTGCTCCGAGGGAAGGGTCATCTTTCATGGATCCAGGGGGACTAGATAAGCTAATTTTTGGAGGGGCCAGCTGAACCAAGGCCTATGATATGAAGTGCTGGGGAAATACAGTATCTAACAGGCACATGTCAGTAGGGACTGAGGGAGGTAGAAAATGAAATTCTAAGAAGGGCATGGAGGCAAGATAGAAAACTCAGAATAGGGCTGAGAGGCCCCAACTGAAGGAGCAGCTCCAGTAGAGAAGCAACCTTCCCAAAGATAAGTTTGCTGGGCTCCTGTTCTCCCAGGGAGAAAGCACAGAAATATTTGTTCCCTAGGTGCTATGGGCCACATGAGAAAGTGAGAATGAACTTTGTAAAATCCATAGGGGCTGCAGCTCTGTCATTTTCTGAACTCAACAAAGCTAATCTCTTGAAATATAAAAATGGCCAGGAGTCAGCCTGAGCTGGAAAGCCAAGAATTCTGAGATGCTGGGTGATTAAATACCAAATTCTAATTCCCTTCCCAACCCAGCAAAGGCCCCAGCCCCCCAAAATGTACCATATTTAGTCTAATGTCATTGGTGTGTCCTGCCCTGGCAAGGACCTCAGTCATCTGCTGTACCCTCCATTCCTAGACAGGCAATCATTCCAAATGCATGCATACCCTATTTTTACTTTCTTTCTTTCTTTTTTTTTTGGCACCAGGGATCGAACTCAGTACCTTGGACTTGCAAGGCAGGAGCATATCCTATTTTTAAAGGTTTATAGGAACAAGGATTCCCTTACCACTCTGGTTTGCTATTCTAGGGTTTGTAATTTTTAGGTACATATCCACTAGAAAGTATAATTCACTTCTAACAAATGCTTATTCCTCATAATTTAAAAAATGTTATTCAAGCTCCAGTAGAAACTTCTTAGCATGAGCTTTTAAAAAAGTTGTACCAAGTCATTTATTAGTTTTTTTCCCCATATAGTCTCTTAGAGACTCTTCACCCACAGCTTTTCTCCCCCAGACCTCTGCACAATGTGCTGTAACTGGAGTCTCCAAACTATGTGTTTATAAAAGTTTTCCAGAGCTCCTCCTGAGTGTACCCAGAATACCTCCTGTATGGTGCCTGTAATCTTATCCTTCGTCTTACTTCTAATAAGTCAGGCAGCTGCTCGTAGAAGGTTATTTAGGGCAACATGGAACAGCCAAGAAGAGTCTGGCCAGGACTGGCATGGATCCAGACTAGGCCAATGGATGGGATAGTCCAGGGAATTATTGAGACTCCTTAGCATAAACCATCTATATAGCTTAGTCTGTGATTTTAGGGATACAGAGTTTGAGGCACAGGTAGAAGAGCACAAAGTGGGTCTTGAAACTTGATTTCTAGGCAGTCACTCCATCCATTTAGAGGCAAGATGAACTCAGGAGGTTGGTAGAGTTGAGGTGAGAAGGTAGAGGGAGAAGAAAAGAAAATCTTCTTACTTGTGAGATTTTTTTCCCTGCCTAACAAATTTGGATATTCTCTGCCTACCATGGTTTAATCCTTTGCCTAAGTCAACATAGAGCATTTCTTTCTTCTTAACATCCTGAAATCCATCACCTTGCCAATTAGGTACGCCGTTGTTTCTATTTCCTAGATCTCTTCTGCCTAACATCTATTTTGTCTCAAATGCCACCCTTCCAGTGTAAGCCCTCCTCATGTCGTATCTCAGATGCCAGAAAGCTTCCTAATCCTAGTACCCCTCTCTCAAGCTGCCTGTCACATGCTGCCAGTTATCTTTCTGATACATAGATCTCATGTCCCTCATCATTCAAAATTCGAGATTCTTCATTATTTGCAACCTCAGACTACATAGTTTTGTAATGTTCATGGATTCCCTGAGCCAGGTGTCTACTACCTGTTGGCTTAACCTCTTAACCACTTCCTATCTTACATTTTACTCTGTTTGTTTGTTTGAGACAAGGCTTCACTGTGTAGCCCAGGCTGGCCTCGAACTTGTGGCAGTCCTCCTACCTTGGGTTCCTGAGTGCTGGGATTACAGACATAAGCTACCACACCAGGCTCAGTTTACTCTTTGTAATACTGAATTGTCCAAGGTTATTTCTTGACCCTTACCTTTGTGCTATCCCTCCTGCTTAGAACACCCTTCCCCAAATTTTCTACCTGACAAAAATATCTAAAGGGAAAGTGTCCTTTAGGTCTCGGGACAATGCTGTCTTTTCTGACTTCCTCCTGGCAGGCTTAGATCCTCTTGTTCTTGTTCCCACTGATCTTTGTACATACCTCTGTTTTAGGCATCAATATACCATACTGTAATTCTCTGTGTGTCTTGAGATCATTATCAAGTCTTTTATTTTTGTGTTTCCAGACTCTGCATTGCTCTGCTCTGTATTCCCAGTGCCTAGCACAGTGCCAGGAGCACAATAGGTGTTCAGTCAATATTTGTTCAGCGAGTGATTGGACCTTCAATTTGATTTGGAACTAATAGCCATGTAATACTGCGTCAACCAGAAAAAGGAAAAAAAGCCATTGTAGTCTTTTTTATTCTATTCCATTCATGCTAGCATTGGATTATTCAATAGGTTATGATGACTTTTTTTTTTTTCTTTTTTGGTATCGGGGATCGAACTCTGGTCCTTGCACTTGCGCAGCAGGCGACGAAACCACTAAGCAAAATCCCCGGCCCGGTTATGATGACTTTTAGTCTGGTGCTGTAGATTTTTCTAGTTACTAGCTTCCCTAGTACTTGCTAGTCGATGATACTACTCTAGGCAGGGTTTAAGGACCGTGTGAATTGATTTTAGATTGAAGCAAAAACATGTACTGTGACATCTGAGAGAGTATGGCTACAATGGTCTGTAAGAAACTGATCCCACATGTCTCTAAGATACTACATCCAGCCAGACATGGTGGCTCACGCCTGTAATCCCAGAACTGAGGAGGCTGAGGCAGGAAGATTGCAGTGAATTCGAGGATAGCCTGGGCTACCCTGGGCTACATAGTGAGACCCTGTCTCAAAAAGACAAGACAGATAAACAAATAAAAAATAAGATACGGCACCCATCATGTCTCTAAGATCCACCCTGAGCTTCTCCAATTACAAGGTAGGAAAAGAATGTCTCCCAGATCTCACCAATGAAGCAGTGCTTAGTGCAGCATCAACTCCTAGTGTATGTAGTTCCTTAGTGCAGTATCAGCATTGTTCCTAATATGGAACACATATGTGGGACACCCATTTCATGTTGGCTGCTCCACAGTGCTGCTAAAAGAGAATTCTTGTCATTGACCGGCTACTAGGAAAGGGATTGATATTCACCTGTGAAAAAATGGGAAAGCTCTGCTCTCTATTTGAGTCCTCATTTTTCCTCCCAGTGGAAGCAGAGAGAACAATTTACAGCTTATTGTTAAATTCCCATACACATCTTAATATACAGCACTGCAGGAGAAGGTCAGCCAGTCCCTGTTGACTCATTGAGTGTATGCCAGGAGAAGAACCAGAGAGAAGAGGTTCTCCATCTTTCTGTACACTTAGTCACACCCTCTTCTGGTAGTGTGGGAGCCAGAAAATCACAACTGTGTGGCACACATCGTAATGAAGACCACTCAAATGACACTAAAAGGCCGTGTGTATGTGTGTGTGTGTGTCTTGACTGAGAGAATTTGCTCTCCAATAATGTACATACTGTACTTGGAAATAAACTATAACACATCAGGTCACCAAACCACAGAAAGTCATATTTTTCATTTTTTTCCCCCAAAGAAACTCCTGTACCTGGATATCTATAGATTCAATGCAGAAAACAAGGAAAAACCTAGTGTATTCATTGAGAGTCTTGTGGACATGGCATCTTAGTGGTGTTAGCTTAGACATTTAAGACTTGCATTCAAATCTCAGCTTTCTTAGAGTGCAGGCTATGTGACTGTGTTCTCTCTGAGCTTCAGTTTATAAGTTTGTGTAGTGCAGGCAACTCCAGGGTTGTGGACAAGGTTAAATAAGATGCGGTTTGACAAGTTCTTAGCAGTGTATAGCACACATTGAGGAAAATGCTTGCTTTTCTTCAGTGCTTGCTTTTCTTGCTATTCTTCAGTTTGTCCTGGCAAGAAAAGGTCTTGGGAAAGGGAGGATGTTTTGGGGACGGCAGGGATGAATGAAGTATCTGGAACTCCATTGACACTGCATACAGGAATTGGGAGTTGGGAGACCAGAGACTTGGTTGAGAGGAGTATTTTAGCTTCAGAGAAAAGCCTAAGAAAAGGCCTGACTTTCATCTTTAAAAGAGCCAGATGTAACTTCAGTGGATTCCACGGCTGCTTGTCTTAGGTGTAACCTCTGCCTGACTTTTCTCTTCCCTCCTTGCAGGTATGAATGCTGCTGTCAGGGCTGTGGTTCGAGTTGGTATCTTTACTGGTGCCCGTGTCTTCTTTGTCCATGAGGTTGGTTCCCTACTTAGTCATCTATCATTCTTCCTCTATCCTCCGCTTATTCTGCTCCCACCTCCTTCCCATTTTCTTTTTCTTTACCTCCCAGTTACATTTCTGTTTGCTTTTCTTTGAGTCTCTGTCACTGTGAGTCACTCCTTCTTACTCTTGCCTAAATAATGATGCTGGGACCCAGATTTCTGCACGCTGGGTTTTCATGTTGCCTGTTCCTATTAAAAGAAGAAGAAGCATTCTCTTCTCCTTCCGCTTTCTCCCAAACAGAGAGAGAAACTGAAATGGGCAGTCTTTATAGTAAATTTATTCTATCCGGAGATAGAGCCACAGCATGGAAGTCACACTATGTTTTTTGTTTGCCTAACTTTCTGAGGTTCTAGCTCCTGCTTGGCTTTTTTCCCTCAGTTCCTTTTAATGCTTTGCCCACTGTTCTTTCTCTAAAGCTTCCCTTCCCTCCTTGTCTAAAATTTTATAGTCTGGTAATGTGTCACATTTCTTTTCTTCCCCCTTTTCCTTTTCCCTTATTGTTATCAAAGCCATCTGTTATCTAGTGCCCCTGGGAAGCAGATTGGAGGAAATAAGATGAGCCAAAAATAAAAGGAATTAAGATTTAAACATCAGGAATGGTATTCTGATGTTTCAAGAGTGAGAGTAACTAAAACAGTGTGTTGAAAAAGCTGACACCTTCTGTGAACCATATTAAATAGTATCTCATGAACATCCAGGGATCGCTGATGGTGGGAGGCGACTTGATTCTCAGAGAACCTCCTCCTGATGATCCTGTCTCCGTGCTGGAAATTTAGGGGGAAAGTCAAAGAGAGGTTGAATGGGTGTAATGTGTCCCACAGGGTTACCAAGGACTGGTGGATGGTGGCGATCACATCAGGGAGGCCACCTGGGAGAGTGTTTCCATGATGCTTCAGCTGGTATGTTCCAGAGAACTGCTGCCCCATGTCTGTCCTGTCCTTGTCTCATCCCACTCTGTTTTGAGCTCATGATCTCCTTATTTCCCTGTCATGTGGTTTGATGTGAAGGGATTCAGTGACAAGAGAAGGGCTTGTATTTGCCCTTTACTCTTCGCATTTGAAAACATCACACTGGTTTCCTGGTGTAGGGGTGGGAGAATGATCACAGAACTGTGTGCTCTTTATAGAAAGGTCATAGGCAAGACTTTTGGAACTGGAACATAAGCAGGTCCTAATCTGGGGTCACAGGAAGGTCTGGCCCTGAAAATAACCTTAGCAGAGGAACAGAGCCAGAAGCAGAGCTGAATCTGCCGTTCCTCATGTGATGGAGATGAGGTGACCTGAGACCAGATCGTTTAAAGAAGGAAGGAACTGAGAGCCTTTCGAAGTCTCAAGAAATCCAAGAAATTTACTGATTTTTTAAAAATTTGCAGTCCTTTATGCCACTTCATATTGTTCTATGTTCCTTCTAATAGGTATCAGCTGTGGGATAACCTGGTAGAAATACAACTATTTGCTGATTTACTAAAAACTGACAAATTATGAGTATATTTGTATTCCTGAAACTCCAATGGAAGAAATTTAATGTGTAGTTTCTACTGAAGGCTCAATATAGGCAGTGACACATACAATAAAGAGGCCTGAAAATGAGCCAGAATTCTTCACCAGTATGCCAAAGTCATAGATACCCAGGAGCTTATATGATTTATGAAAATCTTAAGTCTACTTACCACTCTTGGGGTATTAGTGAGTCCCTGGGAATTTAAGGCTTTGTACCCCTAAAGTTGATTTTCTTGTGAATAGCTGGGTGTTATGGTTCCTGCCACCGGCATCATAGATCCCAATTAACAGGGGGCTCAGGGGAATGAATTGACAGTGCCTAGGTGATCTCAGTTAGAAATCTCAGTGTGTTCAGGGAAAATACTAGCAAGCACATTGGGATGAATTCCTAATAGTAATTTGGACACAATCCAATAATATTGGGCCACTAGAAACAATTTCTAAAGTCACAGCTACTACGATGTGAAAGGTGGAGAGTATTTTAGAAACAACAGACATATAGATTCCCTTATTCTCTTTGGAGATAGTCACTTTGATAATAAAGTCTTTGGCGAAATGGGATGATCTTAGCAGTCTTGTAACATGAATAGCAGGATATTCGAATGATCCAATGACGTTTCAGCCAGTATCATTTTCCTTTCCTTTGGAAGGGACACATGACTGAGGGACATCAGGGTACTTCCTAGGGAGTCTCGTGGTATGTCAGCTCATCACAGTGTTGGGATGGGGGAAATCTTAGAATGCTGAGCCAAAATTTGGCTATATTATCTGGGGATCTGACTTCTACCTCTTCGCTAAAGGGTGGCACAGTGATTGGAAGTGCCCGTTGCAAAGACTTTCGGGAGAGAGAAGGACGACTCCGAGCTGCTCACAATCTGGTGAAGCTTGGGATCACCAATCTCTGTGTCATTGGGGGTGATGGCAGTCTCACTGGGGCTGACACCTTCCGTTCTGAGTGGAGTGACTTGTTAAGTGACCTTCAGAAGGCTGGTGAGATATTTATATTTGTATTAATTGTTTTTTGTGTGAGTGTGTATGTGTCTGTGTGTGTGTGTGGTATGTGTATGTATATGTACCTCATACCTCCCATTGGAGAAAAAATAGGTCTTTGCTCTCCTTTTTTTCTGTCATTACTATTATTTGATTCAGCTTCTCTCTCTCTAGTGATCCACTCGATAGGCATGCTAGGGACCTTACTCTGTGGCGCCCCATGGTTTGCTTCCCATTTTAGGTAAGATCACAGCTGAGGAGGCTAAAAAATCCAGCTTCTTGAACATCGTGGGCCTGGTTGGTTCAATTGACAATGACTTCTGTGGCACTGATATGACCATTGGCACTGACTCTGCCCTGCACCGGATCATAGAGATTGTAGATGCCATCACCACTACTGCTCAGAGGTAAGGGGTCTTGGGAAGTAGACTGTGGATGAGTGTGGCAGATGGTACAGAATGAGGGTGAATGGCTAGTGAAAATCAAAGCATTTGAGCTATAGTGACCGTGACCAGTTTTCTGGGGTTAGAACGTGTATTTTTAACTTAGAATTATTGTAGAACATGATATTGCACTTCTCCCTAAATGCTACAAGATTTGCCTTTTCCACTATCTAGCTCACTGTCTAGATATGAAGCTCTGAAGTCTTGAATACCTGTGGGTTCTCCTGAATGGTTAGTACAGTGGTACTTGGTTCACGAACCCTTTTATTTGTGAACATTCAATTTGCAAACAGAAGCATTTGGCAAAATTTTGTTTTTATTTGCAAACTCTGCATCGTGTGACGAACATGACCGTGACCATCTTTCCTGCACGAACATGAATGTGGCCATCTTTTCCAGAATTGTGGAATGAATTAAGTTCGTGAACTGAGGTACCACTGTATACACACTGCGTCAGACCCATGGAGCCCAAAGTCTGAGCTACCCCTTCGAACCATAATCTGGAGGCAGTAGATGGATGCATTAAGGGTTATGTAGGCAGGGGCCAGGGGAGGCCATATGGGAAATGATAGGGCAAAAGGAGAATTTCACCCCAGGATAATCTTGCAGGACCTCAGTTTAGTCCAGTCTCCTCTTTGCTGCTTTTCTCTTTCTCCCCTTCCCTTTCATTTCCCATCCCTCTGGAACAGAGCCTCTGTACTGACACCTGTTAGTGCTGGGTTTTCTCAAGCCTACAAAGGGCACCTTGTGCTAACATGTATCCCCTAGATCTTCCTGGTCAACATAAATACATCTGTTAGAGGTGAACAGCCTAGATGTGGGTGGTGGATTGGTGCTGGCCATAGAGACACATGGACAGCGCAAGTCTTATGTTTGTCTCTTGCAGCCATCAGAGGACATTTGTGTTAGAAGTAATGGGCCGCCACTGTGGGTAAGAGTCCCATCCTGAGCTAGCACATTCCTTTCGTCTTCCCAGAGGCCAGTGGGCCTCTCAGTAGAAGCATACCTGGAAGTGTATGTGCTCTGTATGGTTCTGCCCCTTCCCTGCTTCTGTCTCACTTCCCTTACTAACCTACGTGTGCTTAGGTGTGCACACTCAGGCACACGTGCACCGTAAAACGATAAGAAGCCACTGGGACAGGCAGACATGAATAGAAAGTACTCTTCAGGGACAGTGTCTCACTGACAGGCCCAGTGCTCTTAATTCACCCTAAAAAGAAATGCAGGATCTTTCATAAGCTTTAGGACAAGGAGACTTTGTCTGTGGAGTGTAGTTCCCAGTGCCATGCTTCTGACTCTTACCTTAGATACCTGGCCCTTGTCACCTCTCTGTCCTGTGGTGCCGACTGGGTTTTTATTCCTGAATGTCCACCAGATGATGACTGGGAGGAACACCTTTGTCGCCGGCTCAGTGAGGTACTTCATTTTGCTCTGAAAGTCCCTCACTCTTTTCCTCTAATGATCCATCCATCCCTCAGTTTCATTCTTCTGACTACTTTTCATTTTATTCTTGACCAGACAAGGACCCGGGGTTCTCGTCTCAACATCATCATTGTGGCTGAGGGTGCAGTTGACAAGAATGGCAAGCCAGTCACCTCAGAGGACATCAGGAATGTTAGTACGCGTGAAACCAGAGGGGCCTTAGCACCAGAGCCCCATTGGCCCATCCTGAATTCTCGAGCCCCTGGCACTGCATCTCCCCTCGGTCCTTCCACATGCTCTTCAGGTCCCTGCCCCTGTTTTCCTCCCACTAGGAGCCAGTATAAGAAGGCAAAAGCCTGTGCCCTCCATGGTTTACCTCAGTCCCAGCTTGTTTTCTCTTTGTGACTCTTTGTGTTCCTTTCTTGGTCCTTTCAGCTGGTGGTGAAGCGTCTGGGATATGACACCCGGGTCACTGTTTTGGGGCATGTGCAGCGAGGAGGGACGCCATCAGCCTTTGACCGAATCCTGGTAAGTTGACGGGGCTCTGGCCCTCATGCCTTAGAACTCCACCCTTGCCATTCTGCCCATCTCCTGACATTGGCAGTGTTGCCCCCCCACCAGCCTCCAGGTCGCGGTCCCTTGTCCCATTCCCATACACTTGAGAGGTGTCCTCTGTTGCAAAAATAATGGAAGCTCTAGCTTCCTAATAGTGAGGACCAATATTTTAGAGCTCTAAACATCAGTGAAATTATTGAGATCTAGTCTTAGACACTTTGAACCTTCTTATCCTGCTTGTATTGGAAGAGTTGCAACCTACTTCCTGGTTTTATCAATAGGAAGGGAACATTCTTAAGCTCTGGTAGTCCTGTTGATTACTGTAGCGGACTTGTTCCTCTGCAACCAGTTAGAATCCTTGGGGTTTAATGGCAAGAGGACAGTCCTGAAGCTTTGGCTGAAGCCTGGGTGCAGAGGTCAAACCCAGTAAGTTTTTGGCTGCAGACCTTGAGTGTGGAACTCAGCCCCGTGATGTGGAAAGGACCTTGAGTGTCCCGGCTCTCTAGGCTGAGCCAGGATGGGAAAGCCTGATCCAGACTGTCTTTGCTCCCTGGATTCCTGCAGGGCAGCAGGATGGGTGTGGAAGCAGTGATGGCACTTTTGGAGGGGACCCCAGACACCCCAGCCTGTGTGGTGAGCCTCTCTGGGAACCAGGCTGTGCGCCTGCCCCTCATGGAGTGTGTCCAGGTGGTAAGTACTGATCCCAGTCTCCTTCGTAACACTCCCAGGCTCCTGGCTGGGAACTCATAGAGAACAAGACCAACCTCTAAGGCTACTGGTATAGGACTACATAGAAAGTCAGAATGGCACGGTAAGAGACACACCGGGAAAGAACACCGTGGACTGTAGCTTCTCTGACTGTAGGAGCTATAACTTCTCTAAGCCTCAGTTTCCCCATAGGTAAAATGTTCCTAAGGAAGATGGGAGATTATATCTTTCCTAGTGATACGACCCATTATTTCATAGTATCCAGCCTCAAACCCTCTTATTATGTCTTTATTGGAAGAGAAATGCAATATCCCTCCTAAGATTATTAAAAGCAGGAGATGATTATTAAGTTCTGGCTAGGGAACTTTTGTCTCTATATTATATCTACCATGAATATGTTTCTCTAAACATGAGGTTATGAATAATCACTTTGAGTATCCTTACAGGGATTAGGGAGAACATACATAAAGCATCCAATGAAGTACCTGGGAAATGTTCGTGCTCAGCAATTGTGGTTTGTACTTTAGAGGAATCACTAGTTTGACATCACAGAGTGAACACTGTGGCTGGAATCAGGGCCATTGGGCCTGATTTTCAAGGCTGGTGTGAATGCTCTCCATTTCTTGGCTTGCTTCTTTTTGAAACATAGGCATCCCAGTGACCTGCAGCCTTTCTTAGAACTGCATCTCTCAACTCAAAAGTTAAGCTCTAATCAGAGAGCAGGAATCTCTTTCTTCCTACTGGGTTACCTTGAGATTTTCTTCATTTACTCAGTTGTTCAGAGGTTGAAGACCTGGGTGTGGCATGGAGGAAGATGCTATTAATCTGTGAACCCATGCCCACTCTGCCCATAATTCTAATAAATACAGTTTTGATATTCCTCTTTTATTTTGCTGTTCATTACTCAGAAAATTAAAGAGAAATAAAGATACTACTATGAGAGTTTGTGAGAATAGAAAAAGTGGGGTGAATGGTAGATCCAGGCAAGGCCCAGAGATGGGAAGTCTGACAAAGTGCGGAAATCCAGCTGTCAGAATTCTGCCCTGAGTCATAACTGTTGCTGTGCTTCTCCCTCAGACCAAAGATGTGACCAAGGCCATGGATGACAAGAGATTTGATGAAGCCATGAAGCTGAGAGGCCGGTGAGGAAACGACAAGACGCTTGCTAGCTACAGAAATCAGACACCAGCCCAAAAATCTATAATCCCAGACCCCAAATATGAGCTCCTGCTTCTGCTTTTATTGTCTCGCAACAATTTCTTCCTCAGGAAAATTAGTTGGAAGCTGACTAGGAGGCACAGTTCATTCCAGGATCAGCCTTTCACAGTGTTATTTCCAGATGTGGACTCCAGCTAGATCTGAAGTTTCTCTAGACAAGGGACAGTTGCTTGTGTTGCTGAGGAGAAGAGTGCCCAGGGAGTGTCTGATGAATGAATGGCCACTTTATAGCCCCTGTCCTATTCCTACTGTCACTCGGTTATATCCTTAGAGATCTGTCCTATGAAACTTCAGTCTGGGACCAAATCTTTGGACCAGGATCCCCAAAGCTGCTGGCTGTGAGGAACGGCCTGAAGACACCCTTCTCTTTTATACTTTTTACAGGAGCTTCATGAACAACTGGGAGGTATACAAGCTTCTAGCTCATGTCAGACCCCCGGTCTCTAAGGTAGTACAGTCTCCCCTTTTCCTCTTGGCTTTCTGTTTCCCTCAGTCTCTTTATGAAGTGCTACCCCAAATCTGTGCATCTCAAGCCCTGACAGTTTCTTTTCCCCTGCTCCACAATCCTCAGTGTCAGGTCTGTGGGTGTACTATGATAACTTTTAGCCACTGATACCAGCCCAGAGTTGTTAGTGTCCTGGATGTTTCTAATCCAAGACTTATACCGAGTTTAATATTGGCAAAATAGCATGTAAGGAACAGGAAAGAGGGCTTATGTAAGTTACCTCTAGGAATAATCACATCTCAGTCTGTCTGAGTCACCTTTTCCATTGGAGTAGGGGTTTTTAATATTTATATATCAAAATTACCTGGGTTGCTCCTTACACATGCAGATTTCCCTCAGAGGGGATTCAAATCTGGGGCAGAGGATAAGAATAGGCAGGCCTAACAAGGTCCCCACATGGATTGTGATGCAGTGGTCCAAGATCACACTTTGGGAAACATTGCTCCGGAAGTTCCCTTACTTGTTATTTCGTGGTATCTTTGATCAGAAACAGCAGCTTTTATTCACTGATTTGTTATTAAGAATTTTGCTTTTATAGTATAAGGTAGCAGCTGTTCTAGCATCTCCTGGGAAAGGGGTGTGCCCTGCCATAGGCGGATGTCCTGACCCTAGAACAGGATGGGTTCGGGGTTCACCTCTCTTACTGACCTCCTGCCCTCAGTGGGGCTTCTGTCCCCTTTCCCTGCTCTTTCCTTTATAGACCGGTGCATTCACAGTGGCTGTAATGAATGTAGGTGCCCCAGCTGCGGGCATGAATGCTGCTGTCCGCTCTACTGTGAGGATTGGCCTGATCCAAGGCAACCGAGTGCTGGTTGTACATGACGGCTTTGAGGGCCTGGCCAAGGGTCAGGTATGGGGACTCCAAGGGCACGTACTGTGGGGACATGGGGCAGTCCTGGGGAAGATCAGTGTAGCAGGGGTGGCTAGTCCATTTTCTTTGCTTCTCTGTCACGCATTATCTTTCTCTCCTCTCCCAGGGTTGAGACAGAAGTAAATATTTAATTTTGAGACAGTAAGAACAGACAGAGCGCAAGGTCCTGAGCTTGATCCCCAGTACCAAAACAAACAAAGAAACAAAAACAACAGACAGGAGCTGCTGGAACAAACCTTTGCAAACACTGTGTTTTATTTAATTTCCTATCCCAAAGCTCAGCACAGCCTCTGGCATAAGTAGGCACTTAATATTTCTGCATAACTCTTTTTTTGTTGTTTGTTTGGGGTTTTTTTTGGTGTTTTTGGGGGGTACCGGGGATTGAACTCCGGACCTTGTGTTTGTAAGGCAGGCGACGGAACCACTGAGCTAAATCCCTGGCCCCTAATATTTCTGAATGAGCAATAAAGGTGGAAGAAGTTCAGTGCATGAGGAAAAGCCACTGTCTGGTGTTCCTTTTCCAATGAAGGGGGACCCTAGAGGGTGGAGTCAGAGCTCAAGAAGTGGCATCAGTCCCACACGAGCTCTGGTGTGCGAGTTGCAGTTTGAACTGTGTGGCCTTCCCCTGCAGATTGAGGAAGCTGGCTGGAGCTATGTTGGGGGCTGGACTGGCCAAGGTGGTTCCAAACTTGGAACTAAAAGGTAAGCGGCACTGTAGCAGCATCTTCTCCCAGTCACCCTTCCAAGGTGTCCCTTGAGTGTGGGCATCAACTCATTAGGTCAGGGGCTGCTTCCCACAGCCCAGTGGTCTGGCTGCCCCCTCCATAGGGGCTTCAGTGAGGGAGACAGGCTTATACATACATCTTAGAGCACCTCTGACATTGGCATCCCCAGCGAGTATCTTTAGATTAGGGTGAGAGGGTGGGAGAGAGCAGGGGATGTAATTCAAGAAATTAACAAAACACCTTCTAACTCTGGTTTTTCTCCCAATCTTGCTGTCTTTTTCCCAAATTCCCACTCTTCCTTCCACTAGGACACTACCCAAGAAGAGCTTGGAACAGATCAGTGCCAACATAACTAAGTTTAACATTCAGGGGCTTGTCATCATTGGAGGCTTTGAGGTCAGTTCCCCCCACTACTTCTTCCCCTTTCCCTCTCACCTCCCCCCTTTTCCCATGCCTACTCCTGCTGCCTTCTTCTTCTCAGGCATACACAGGGGGCCTGGAGCTGATGGAGGGTAGGAAGCAGTTTGATGAGCTCTGCATCCCATTTGTGGTCATTCCTGCCACAGTCTCCAACAACGTCCCTGGCTCTGACTTTAGCATTGGGGCCGACACAGCGCTCAATACCATCTGCACGGTGAGAGCCCACCACCACTTCCCATCCCGTTGGCCAGAATCAAGTGTGATTTGGGAAAGTGAGCTCCTTTTTTTTTTGGTGGTACAAAACAAGTAGCAATATTTGAAAAATGACTCCTCAAGCCCAGGCATTCATACAAACGTTAATAACATTCATTCTCTACAACTAGAAATGCATCAGATGTTACCAATTTTTTTCCCTCTTCTGTGGCAATTATTTCCCTACTTTGAGCGAAGTTAAGGATAGAGCTTTCTTCTTTCCACAGTATGGTTGCTGAATACCCACCACTCCACACCAGTATAAGAATTTCATGAGGTCTAGGGGAGAATGTAGTTCTAGAGTTAATGGCAAGGGCCAAAGAAGTGGCACGAATCAGACCCCCTGACCCTGTCTTTCTAACTATGACCCATTGTCTTTGCAGACATGTGACCGCATCAAGCAGTCTGCAGCGGGCACCAAGCGCCGGGTGTTTATCATTGAGACTATGGGGGGCTATTGTGGTTACCTGGCCACCATGGCAGGACTGGCAGCTGGGGCCGATGCTGCTTACATTTTTGAGGAGCCCTTCACCATTCGAGACCTGCAGGTAGATGGCCACCCAGAGCCTACTAGGTAGGCTCTCCCCTGCCCCAATCTGTCCCCCCAGCTGTCCCCTCAAGACCAAGGCTAGGAGAGCTCAACATGAGGATGGAACAGATTGTTCCTAAGTGCTCTTTTTATTTTATCTTCACAACATACATGCAATGAAGACAGAGTCTCCAAATTGCAGATGAGGAGGGTTTAGAGAGCTTAAAAATTTTTGTAAACTCCTAAATAAGCAGATGGTTCAACTGGTTGAGAAAGTCAGTGGCCTATTATATCACGCTATCCCTCCAGATTTCCCTCCCTCCCAATTCTTTTTTTTTTCCTTTGGTACCCTCCCAATCCATTTTTGAGGGAACTACCCTTTCACCTCAGAGGCAGGACTCTGACTTGTATTTCACAGAGGGACCGTGTGATCTTATGTTTCGAGATTCCAGTTCACTGGGGGAGAAGAGGGCCGCAAAGTGCAGGTTTAGCAGTAGGCTGAGGGCCACCCCTCATCCAGGGTCCCGGCCAGCCCCTGCCTGGAGCCGAGGGGAGGAACCTGCCTCGCTCACACCCAGCTCAAAGCTCAAATGAAGGAACGTGTTCTGTGCAGATGAACCACTGCTTCACATTCAAGCAACCCATGTAAAGACTGACAGCCTGAGTAGTCAGCTCTCTGAGTGAAAGGGAGCTGGAAGCCCCTGGACAGGAGGATCAGAGGGGGCTGGAAACTGATAGTGTGGCTGTCTCTTGTGGTCCCTCCTCAAGTTCTGTCTTTTGTTCCTTTTTATTCCACATTAAACAACATTTTTCTTCTGTTTTCTGTACTGAGGATTTAACCCAGGGCTTGTTCACTGAGCTACATCTCCAGCCCTTTTTAAAAATTTTGAGACAAGGTCTTGCTAAGTCACTTAGTTGCCAAGGCTGGGCTTGAACTTGTAATCCTCCTGCCTCAGCTTCCCGGAGTTCTAGCATTATAGATGTGTACCACCATGCCTGGGTCACGTTAAACTTCTGAAAGGCCTTAGGCACAGCTCAAGCCAAGATGGTAAATAGCTCTCTTCTGAGCCCCTTCCCTTGTGGGAGAAGAGGATTAATGCTGTTGCTCAACCTTAGCCACTTCTGAGTAGACTTAGGATTTACTGTTTCATTTTCAGGCGAATGTTGAACATCTGGTGCAAAAGATGAAAACAACTGTGAAAAGAGGCTTGGTGTTAAGGTACTTCACCCCCAGTTTGTCCCTAAATAAAGAAAAAAAATAGTTTTTGGCTCGAAATCATAGAATGGATCCACAGTTGAGACAGCCTGAGGAATCTGTAGATGCAAAGGGAAGTGATAGCCTATTCCCTGAACCCTGGGAGGAGGCAGGAAAAGGAGGGACAGAACCTATCAAGGGAGAAAGAGGGGCTGGGGGGACAATGAGAGCCACAGGCTTTTGGTTTCTCTCTGGCAGGAATGAGAAGTGCAATGAGAACTATACAACTGACTTCATCTTCAACCTGTACTCTGAGGAGGGGAAGGGCATCTTCGACAGCAGGAAGAATGTGCTTGGCCACATGCAGCAGGTAGGAAGACACTCGAGTCATGCCTGTACCACAGAGCCACCTCCCTGGCAGCCATAGAGGCTCCTGCTGGCCTCCAGTCTGCTGGAGGTTCAGCACCACCATGAAGCAGGGACCGGTGGTCTCTTATAGTCATAGACCGAAAACATTAGGAAGTGACTTTAGAGATGATGTGGTTCATCCTTTTCATTAGGGAGGGTTCCTCAACCTTGGTATCATTGCCCTTTGGGGTTAGATAATTCATTGTTGTGGGTGGCTGTCCTCTGCATTGTAGGATGGTTTACAGCATCCCTGGACTCTACTCACTAGATGCCAATAGCGTCTTTCCCCTTTCCCTCAATTTTAACAAAAATGTGTCCCCAAATATTGCCGAATGCCCTCTGAGGGGCAACATTTTCTCCATTTGAGAGCCACTGATTCAGATAAAGGAAATGAGATCCAGGAAGGAAAAGTCATTTTTTCAGGGCCACTCTTCAAGCTTGGATAGGAGCTAGAATGAACTTGGTCTGATCCTGTTTCCAATACACCACGTGGCCTTTCATGAAGAACCTATTGGATGAGTACAGACACTTGCTGGTGTTGAGCTCCATCTCCACTAACTGGGATTTTGAGGGAAAGAACTTCTTTTCTACTATGAATACTCAGTCTCATAGCCCTCACGCACAGGTGGTACTTGTGGTCTGAGGTCCTCCCCTATCCCAAATGTCCTCAGCTGGTGCCTGCTCAGCACTGACCAATGAATTCCTAATATGTGTATCTCAGTTTGAATGAACTTGTCAGTGAGTGCCTATGGGAATAGAATATTATTGGATAATTATGAAGCCCTGGTTTCTGTTTTTTCTTCCTTCCCACTTTCCCACTTTCTCTTAGTTCAGAGAATGTTTCATATTATTCTGAGATTCTACCAAGGGCAGCTAGATTGGGCCACAAATAATACCTTCTATATCAATAATGTGATAGACAAAAGCTTCTAGGCTAAAGAGGGGTAGGGAACTGATCTGGAGGCCAGTAGGACTAAAATGGGATCTGGCAGCTATGGAGCTAAAAGAGAGTTGTGTCTTTAATCATTCCTACTTATTCTTGTTCTTGATAAATGAGCCGTTTACCATGGATCCCCATATTTGTGGTTTTTTTTTTTTTGGTACCAGGGATCAAACTCGGGACCTTGGGCATGCAAGGCAGGTGCCGGAACCACTGAGCTAAATCCCTGGCCCTGATGGATCCCCATATTGTTGTAGGGCATCCTTTCAAGGACTTCTGGATTCTTGTAAACCTTCCCAATTTTTATAATTCTTTTCCAGGGTGGGAGCCCAACTCCCTTTGACAGGAATTTTGCCACTAAGATGGGTGCTAAGGCTATGAACTGGATGTCTGGGAAAATCAAAGAGAGTTACCGTAATGGTAGGTGGGGTGAGAGGGTGTGCCTCCTCTCTAGAGGCTAGCCTCCCAGCATAGAAGCTGACTGACCACCCTTTATTGCAGGGCGGATCTTTGCCAACACTCCAGACTCAGGCTGTGTTCTGGGAATGCGTAAAAGGGCCCTGGTCTTTCAACCAGTGACTGAGCTGCAGGAACAGACGGATTTTGAGTGAGTACTTCCATCTGCTTTCTAGGATGGTATCTGTCTTCACTGCTTTTCTTTCAGGACTAACACCTGTAGACTTACGTGGATGGCCTAAATCCAGCTTCTTCCCTTGAGTCTTTGGTAGAAATTGATTGGGGTGCTAAAGGATTGTATCATCATCTGTCTCATTCCTCTGTAGGCACCGAATTCCCAAGGAACAGTGGTGGCTGAAGCTGAGACCCATCCTCAAAATCCTAGCCAAGTACGAGATTGACTTGGATACTTCAGACCACGCCCACCTGGAGCACATCTCTGGGAAGCGGTCTGGGGAAGCTACTGTCTAGACTTATTTGGAGTAGGGGTATAGATTATCTGATCATGGCCAGCTCACCCCCTGCTAGATCCAAGTGCACATTATCTTAGTGTTTTAGCTCTTTTTTTCATTAGGTTTCCTTTTATCCTGTAACCATGATCGGCTCTGGCCAGGAGCTGGGGGAGGGGCCAGTGAATGGAGTCTCCTTGGTGAATTTACCATTACTTCAACCCCAGCTTCATCTGTTACACAGGCTGTGTTCCTCTACTGCTACTGCTAGATGTCAGCTACTGAGAATTTTCCTAGAAATAAGCTTTATTTATTTCTTTGTGATAACAAAGAGTCTTAGTTCCTCTACTACTTTTACCACAGGGACAAACTGTAACGACGCTAATAAAGGCCATCTAGTCATTGTGCTTTTGGTCCTGATGTTATCTTCTCAAGTGAAATGTAACCCTGTCTGCCTTCTGTGCCACACCTCCCCAGACAGAACCCCGGGGAAAACAGCCCATTGGCACTTTTCTCTGCCCATTGGATTATTTTTCTGCAGTATCTCTTGACTGTTCTCATAAGGTCTCAGGACACAGTACACTGGCCCTCATCCTCATCCCTCGCCAGTCCTTTTTGCATCCTTTGCACCCTCCTGTCTCCCTTAAGCACAGTGTCGTTTCCCCTCTTGTCATACACCCATTGCCCAGGGTTGTGTTTTTCCAGCCATCCCACAATCTGCTCTTTTAACACCCCCACCCCCCGCCCGAGCTTTTCCTTCTCTCCTTTTCCCCTGTATGCCTTCCTAGATGAAAGCCAAACTCCATCTGACAGAACCTGTATATTTTGAAATCCTGGAAAACACAGCCAGTCCTAGACCTGGTTTGGTGGGTCGGTTGGAAAGATGTCACTTCTTATTCAGTTGCACCCTGTCTTCCGTTCCATAGCAGCTCTTTCTTCCTCCTCATTACTGAAGTGCCCATGGGATGCAGTTGGTCCTCAGGATTGGGACTACAGATTGCACCCTAGGTTGACAGGGAGTGCCCTGTCTTAATGCCATGTTAAGCTTAGCCTCCAGTCACCAGGCTGTGGGCTGTGGCTCTCAGCACAAGCATGCACCTTCCTCCCAAGTTTCCTCACTCGCCTGATGAAGCAGGAAAGACATTCAGGGTACAGTAAGTCCCCATTTTAGGAACATTTGAGTTGTTGACTCACTTTGTTGGATTACAAATCCCAATTTATGAACATTCTCATGAAATGGAACTCATTCATTAAGTCGGGGACTTACTGTATTACAAGGGGTGGAGGAAGGGATTTTCTCTAATACATCGTTTTTGCTGGTGCCCAAAGTACGTATTAGTACTGTACCATTAAAACTGTTCTAAGTAGTCAGAGAAGGCTCATTGCCAGTGTCTGATATTAAAGCAGCCAGATGCTCTGTACAATTCTTTATGGGGAAAAGAAATTAACAGTAAACATCAAGTGCTTTGTTAGGCATTTTACATGTTATCATTGAATCCTACAAATAGCTTTATGGGGAGAGTGGTGACAGCCCATTTCAGATACAAGGACACAAGCTTGGAGGTGATGTCTCCCAGGTCATCTAGTCGAATAAAATTGGGAATCAAACTCAGTTCTGACTTTAAAGCCCATCCTCATTCCCTACCATGCTACTTCAAATCCAAAAAACCGTAAAGGCTATGAGGATAAAGGGAAAGCTCAAGCATTTTACGTATTTATTTATAGTACAAAGGATAAAGTCCAGGGTCTTTGCACTGAGCTTTATCTTAGCCCTTTAAAAATTTTGTTTTGAGATAGGCTTTTGCAAAGTCACTAAGTTGTCCAGACTGAGGTTGAATTTAAGATCTTCTTGCCTCAGCCTTCTAGAGTGCTGGTATTTCAGGTGTGCAACACCGTGCCTGGCTTCAAGTGTTTTGAGTGCAAACTACCATTAATTTATAGATTCTCTTCTCTATCTTTAATCCTGGAGCTCTTTCCTTGAGAAAGATGAGAAGATGGATAGCTAGGTGGAAAGCTAATCACAGAAGAAAAATGTCACTGTGTAAACAGTAAAAAAGATTCAGGATCATATGATCTGAAGGAAAAAAACCAGTGAAGGCCACTTAGAAACAAAACCATGTAAGTACATGCCATTCCCCAGAGTGAACAAGGCAGGTGAAATTTTAAGATAAGTGGAGTTGAAGCACAATTTATTAGCCATTAACCATGAGTGATTATGAAGTAACAGGAAAAAGGTAAAATCTTTCCCACATGGACGAAATATTCTTGCTTCCCAGACTGCCACTAGTGTCTATGATGAGAAATGAAATGACATCTAAAGCAATGGTTCACAAATCTAGACTGAAAGTGCAATTATGTGGGTTACCTTTTAAAATACTGATGCTCAGGCCCCCTTTGAGCCAATTAAATAAATCTCGGCATGGAGCCCAGACCTTAGTACAGTATTCAAAAAATCCCAAAAGGCAGCTCTAAAAACTAGGCTGGAATACCACTGTCTAAAGTACTGGCTCTCATTTCTGGCCATATACTAGAAACATCTGAAGAAATTTAACCCAGCCCTACCCAGGAAATTCTAAACAATTGGTATGGGGTGAAATCTCAGCACATGTTTTTTAAAAGCCTGGTGGCCTTAATGCGCAGCTGGGGTTGAAAACAAGAGCAATAATTCTAAATTTGGGGGGTGGTAGGTATAAAAGAAGGGAAGGCTTTTCAAATACCCTGCCCAGGCCTTTCTGTTTACTCCAACAATGCCTAGAATCACTGTTGCTGATGGCAGAGAAGTTGAAATAAAAACGTACACTCAAAAGCTAGGGAATAAAGAACTTTTGATAAACAGCAGGAGGAGAGAGTGGAGAAAAGTAGAAACAGTAGAAATTGCCAAACTTCTTTTTTTAGAACTTTAATGTCTTTTTTTTAATGGACAAAAGACAAAAGCATACATAGTTTTTCAATTAGCAGCAGATCCCATTCATTTTGTAGTTCCCAACCAGCTTTTTCAAAAAAGGTCAAATTTGCATATTCATCTAAGATCAATAACAATTTGATCTAGTTTAGGAAAATAAGTGTTGAGTATCACTAACACAGATCTTGGTGGGCCATCTCAAGAGAAGCTCTGATATGTTCTTTGCTCATTCCCTTCCCAATCCTACCCCCAAACAATGCCTTTTATTCAAAATCAAAGGTTCCAAGACAATGGAAAGAAAAACAGCTCCAATCTCTAAGCAGAGAGAGTTTTCCATAGGGAATGAAGAAGACTCACGGGAAAAGGTAGCCCAGCCTATCCTCCCTCAACTTCAGCTGAGGTGCAGAAAATGTCTGCAAATTGGCTTTCGGGAAGAGAGCCATTTTAGAATGGCTCAGGACTTTGAGTACTTACGATTGCTTAGAATCTACTCTCTTCAATGTAGAAAGCAGCAAGACACCTTTGTGAAAGCACATTGCTGAAGGACTCTAACCCTTTCTGAATGCCCAATTTTGAATCTGCACAACAGGGGTTGCAGTAACTTCATCCTTGGGACACAATTATTGTTAACTGGACGTGTGATCTTTCTTCTTCACACATCAATTATAAAGGTCAGAAAGGGTTTTCTTGAAGTGTTAAACCACACCACCCCCACCCCCACCCCCTCCCCGAAAACCACACACATACTCTCTAAACATTTCACTTGCCTAGAGAAATTCAGTTGCAGACTTGACCCTTTCCTTAAGGGGCGGTGGAGTGGGAAGATCTCTTCTTCTGCAGAGCGCAATATAAAAAAGCCAAGTAAGCAATAAAGAGCAAACAAAGTGAGGGCTTTTTTGGTTTGGTTGCTGGGTATGGGGAGAGGAGGCGGTGAGAAGGTTACTGCCGTGACGCATTGCCTTGAAGTCTGTGAACCACACAACTGGAACAGATGCTTTTCTGTTTTCCATGAAAAAAAGATGGTGCTGCAGGACAAACCTCACCCAGAATTGCCTGCATGGTGGTGGAAGTGTCTCCTCTGGGCTATTCTACAAGTAACAGATATTCCTGCAAAGAAGCTGGCAGTGGAAGGCCCTTCACTGCACCTGGCAGATACTGGAGTCCCAGGCTACGGCGCACAGCATAGCGTGAGAGTGTTTTCAGAGTTCCTGGCGCTGAACACAGCCCAGTCAGTTTTTCACACAGCAGCTGGTCTTTGGCCACCTCTTGTGGCATGATGCCATTTTTCCTTAATTCAAAGTGTCCAACAGCTCTGTGGAGAAGCTCAAAGCACGAGTCCTCCTTCTCGGTTCCAAGTCCCCTGACTAGCAGAGCCACTAGGCGGGAGATGGGCGTCTGGCCTTTTAGGTTGATGACTCTGACCTCTGCGCCATAATCGAGAAGGATGCTGATGCTCTCAAGATTTCCCTTCATGGCAGCCCAGCTGAGTGGTGTGTCATTGTTGTAATCCAGGGCGTTGACGGAGGCCCCGCTCTCTAGGAGAGCCCGCACACATTCAGCATTGTTCTTAAAGGCGGCCCAGTGAAGTGGGGTATCTCTGTTGCCATCCAGAGCATTGGGGTTTGCACCATACTCCAACAACACCTCCACACAAGCCTCATCCTTCTCTGCTGCATAGTGGAGGGCTGTTCGGTTGTAACCATCCAGGGCATTCACCTGTAAGAAAGGAGGAACTAGGTTAGCAGTAGATAAAACTACTGAGAGGAAAAAAGGAATGCAGCAAGAAACTTTTCCTATGCAATGCTCTGGGCAAGACAATCCAAAAGCAATTCCCAGGGAATCTTGGTGATTAAGAAAGACACATGACAGGAGCTAAGAGCAAGTGGAAAAGTACTATCCCAAGACTATCAACCCTATGTGCACTGACCAGCAGGTGTGGATGATTTGGGGTGCTGTGGCAACACTTGGTTCGGTTTTCATTAGAATCTCTACCACAGAGTAAGGGGTCAAGTAGGAAAAGATGAAGTCCAAGGCTTTGAAACTGCTCTGAAATCACTAGGGAGCTGCTTGAATAGAGTTTTCTGTATTACTTTATCTTTCCTGGCTCTGCATTCTACTCCCGAAGGCAACCAAAATGAAAAATAATGAGGCCAAAGCTCTGCCCATACAGTTTTACTATGTTCTTTCACCATGCTTGAAATGTTAAAGTCAGCTCTTTGCAAAAATATGCTGTGGAAAGCATGCAGAAGAAAGCATCATGTGGAGAGAAGAGCACAAATCCTCCAATACTGGAAAAGCAGCCAGCTTGCTCAAAGTTAGTATCCCCTGTGATTGTTTAATTTCAAATTTATAACAGCATGTATCTCCTCCCATAAAACAAAATACAGCAAAACTGAAACATCTAAGTGAGTCCAGTTTTTATTTGGCTAGATCTCCCTCCTCCCCCAATATTTTCACTTTGATCAGTGGTTTTAATCACTTTAGGGTAGAATCAGTTTTCCCTTCAGGGTCAGTCACTCACTACAAACGCCATGGAATAGCTAGTGACAAGGAAGGAGCAGCATGGCTGTGTGGAGGTGAGGTTGGTAGGGCCTGGCCCTGAGGCCTCCTGGCACCCGTGCTGGGGCTGCACTCTGGCTCGCTCCATGGTTTGTCTGACTCAGCACCTCGGGACACACATCCTCAAGGCTGCTCACACACGGTCAGAACTGCTAGTTGATTCATTTAATACACATTGACTTAGCAATTACTACACACTATATTTCAAATACTTTATAACCTATGAAAAAGATACCATTATCATCCTTTTATAGATGGGAAAATAGGCAAAGAAAGGCTTAAGGAATGTGTTCAAGGTCACACTCCTGGAAGGGATCGAACTGGAATATGAATCCCATGAAATAATGACTGCAGTCTATTGCTTTAATTATTCACTATATTATGCTATTTTGTGTCTACTTTCAAAAATTAATTTTTGGTTTTTATCTTAAGATAGATTAAAAGGAAGACAAGAAGATATATTAAAACAAAATAACTAGTGGGCATAAATAGCACAAGTAGCGCAATCTTGAGGAAAGGGCTACTTTATGATAATTATCTCCCCAATTATATCCAACTGGCAGTAGGTTTCAAATGGTTTAGATTTAATCAGAATTGAGGGCCTTCTGCACTTACAGCTCCTGGACGGTCAACAGGCAAGGAGAGGATACAATAAAAAGAGAAACAACCCCAAGAGGTAAGCTAGGAGAGAAGGGAACCATGGACAGAATAAAGGGAAGACAGAAAGGAAAATGAATGAAATTCTTAGGATTTTTTTTTTGCAGTATCAGGGATTGAACTCAGGACCTTGCACTTGCCAAGCAGGCACAGCGCCACTGAGCTAAATCCCTGGGTCCCCTAAGGATTATTTTATAGATTTACCATTTCATTTTCCCTTTAATATCAGCTATGCCAATGTTAACATGAGTTAGAAGGTCAGACCAGAAGGGCAAAGAGAAAATTCTAAGAAAATATGAAGCTCAGATTTCAACAAATTGTTAATGTAACAGTCTTGAGAACACTACCTCAGCTCCTTTTTCCAGGAGTAACTCCACACAGTCAGCATCTGATACCATACAGGCACAGTGCAGGGGCTTCAGGGTGCCATGGGTACAGTTCACATCTGCTCCCTGTAGGAAGAAGTAAATTTCAGTCAGTGTGCCCAGCTCTGGCTCATCCAGCAAGATAGACTCAGACCTGGGGGAAGAGTTCTAACCTTGACTAGTCTGTAAATGTACTACTGTTTCCTGATTTCTATTTACATTAATTAAATAATATTCTAACGCCATTGTCTAAACCAGAGGACTACCGTGAAAAGGAAGGAAAGGAACTGTCAGTTCCTTAGATCAAGTTATTAAGTTTCTCCACAAATTAGCCTGCCAAGATGGTCACTTGTACATCATTGAAGACAAAACCTTATCTGTAAAACCCATGAGAACCTTATCATCAGGCAGGAAAAATGGACCAGAGATCTACTTTCTGTGGCTACCATGTTCTGAAAAAGTCATGAGTCTGTCCGACTGTCAGAACTGGCATACACTTTTTGCCATTCAACAAATGACCATCACTAGCAGTAGTGTTATTATGTTATCATCTTTTTTTTTTTTTGGTACTGGGCATCAAACTTGGGTCCTTGTGGTTGAGAGGCAGGCAATGGAACCACTGAGCTAAATCCCCGGCTCATTATGTTATCATCTTAATGTTATTTTTGTTTATTTATAAACATCACCAAGGTGGTCTATTAGTCTCAGCATTCTCTGCCACCTATTCCAAATCAAGTGTTTGTATTCCTAATATGAAGGAGACGGAGATACCAGTCAGATGAAAGTCACCGAATGACTCAGCAGCAGAGCTAGAATTAGAACGTGACAAAGTTGCTACTGCTGAATATTCTGATCCCACTTTTGCTGAGAATAAGCTCACGCTGTATGCCCTCCTTCTGCAGCTGTGCCACAAAACTGTGAAGCAGCTACAGAGCTCAGGAATATAAATCAGAATACTACAGTAGTTAAAAGATGGTTACATTTTCCAGTGGAAAAAAAATCTCTGTAACTTCTCTTCAACAGGAATAATAACAATTGGGTACCAGAGACCTTGTAGGATACTAGTCATATAACAGAATTATTGAACAGCAGTGGCAAAATACCAGATAAAGTGTTGTCTTCATCTATAATTACCATGTATTTTAGACGTGAGTGTTCTCTACCAACTAGATCTGGCAGCTGTTGTAAGATAAAGAAAAGTGAACTCTCTCCACGTAGTTATCATACCCAGGTATGGAGAAAAGCTCACAAGAATCTGAAAGACACCTCTGGTTTGCCTACCTTTTACCACCCTTAGTAAGACATGTATAAAGACTTTGAGCTCAAAGGCTTCCATATGTACCATATCCAGAGAGTGATTTTACAAAGAACATGAGATTAAGGTTATCTAGAACATATTTCATGAAGAAAACCATCAGATACCCACAGTGAAAGGGAGAAAGCAAGCTAAGCAAAATGTAGGTGAAAATATATTTTAATGGTCAAGTTAATATATATATATATACATATATATATATATATTTTTATTTTTGGTACCGGGGATCGAACTCAGGTCCTTGCGCTTGCGAGGCAGGCAGCAGAACCACTGCGCTAAATCCCTGGCCCTCAAGTTAATATATTTAAGAAGACTGTTAAGACTGTGATCTTGTACTAAGTCAAAGCTGCAAATCTGTAATCTATTAAGATTTACCAGCAATTTTTTCATTTCCTCTCTGCAAGGACACAGCACACTCACCCCTCTGATGAGGTCCTCTACATTATCATGTGGGAAGGAGCGGATGGCAGCGATTGTTCGGATTAAGCGTTCTGAGAGAGAGTATTTGCTCTGAATGCTCTGCATAATATACCACATACTGGAACTCATCAAGGCTCAAAGTGTGTTCACATGCTCCAGACTGCCTGAAACAAAGAAGTTTTAGGCATATACCATATCACTGAGCACATCTGTCCTTAGGTTTAAGCATTCTCTAGGCCTTCCCAATATTAAAAGCAGATGTCAAGGAGAACAGTGATTTACTCCATTTCTGTAATCATAAGGAGCTAGATTGTAATAGTTTCTAGGGTTCTGAGTAAACCTGGATGCAAATGCTCTGGCCTTCAGGATCTCTGTTCTACTCTCTAACCTAGGCTAGCATAAATTTCCCTGCAAGTATGATACTAAGATGTCCATGAAGCCCTGTGTGGTTTATAAGACTAGTTAAGGAACAAGATTTTTTTAAAGCTGAGGATAACCCTAAAACATTCTTTTTTTCCTCTGAATTTTTGTTATTTATCACCATCACCTTTAGACTTACAGTACAGTTATGTACATATGTGTTCCTCCATCTAAATTGTAATCAACTGGAATCTACTTTTTTTTGGGTACTGGGGATCGAACTTGGGAACTTGGGCTTGCGTGGCAGGCACTGGAACCACTGAGCTAAATCCCCGGCCCTGTTCTCTACTTTTTTGTTCATGTAATTAACAAATATTGGTTGGATGACTAAGTACAAGGTATGCAAGTGATTGTTACCTGTGAAAAGAGAGGGGAAAGTTACAAATACACTTATCTTAATGATAAGGCATCTGTGAAAGATAAAAAACAAGAAATATTTGAGGTAATATTCTAAAATAAGAAAGAAAGCAAAAGTGTAACTATTATGGAGTCATCTACTTAAAATTAGAAAAACAAACCAAAATTCACAACAACAAGCACTTTCAGTTTTAGGAAAATAAGCAGATTTTTAAATGATTTTTTTTTTTTTTTGAGACAGAGTCTTGGTATGTATTGCAGTCTGGCCTTAAACTCACAGCAATCCTCTTGTCTCTGCTTCTCGAGTGCTACGATTACAGACCTGTGCCACTATGCTTGGTTTAAAAATGATTTTGAATGTTAAAAATTGACAATTTATGACAACTGAGAAATAGATTTGGGCAATATGTTTAAACCACAATATTGCTGAATTCTAGGATGACAGAAGAAAATACTGTCATGCGATATACTTGAATTCAAATACTTGGATTCAACCATGATAAAAATTTTGACTATACAAGATGCTAGTTAGGGAATATGTAAAGTTATAGCCAGTAAAATGATTCGTTTCCGTGAAAAAGTGAATATCAAAAACTGTAGAGATCCAGGCGCGTTGGCTCATGCCTGTAATCCCAGCACTCAGGAGGCTGAGGCAGGAGGACTGCTGTGAGTTTGGAGCCAGTCTGAATTATAGTGAGACCTTGCCTCAAAAAACCATAAATAAATAAATTAAATTAAATAAACTGTAAAGAAAATATAATGTGTAATACCAACTCTTTAGGTGTAACTGCTTAGGAATCTATATTCTTACTAAAATATATGTTTCTTAGGAGTAAAGATTTTTTTTTTCAGTATTACCTGGCATAAGATAGGTCCTCAATAGTTGAACCAATGAAAAGCTTATTATTTAAAATTACAATAAATTCAAAGCTTGCAGTAAGTAGCAAGCATGTTATGTATATGATGATTACTAAGGGAAAAATCTAAAAATTGTCATTTTATAACATAAAATTTTGCTTTTTGTGACAGGGTAACCCTTTATACATTTTATGACATATTAACTCCACTAATTTCTTTTTGCTAATTAGTAATTATTTGTATCTATAATACACACAGGTCTGGGGATAAAGCTCAGTGATAGAGCATATGCTTAGCATTTACAAGGTCCTGGGTTCAATCCCCAACACCTATGTATATGTAAATGCCAACCCTAACCCTACACACAGACACACACACACACACTCTCATACATATCTCAAATTCCTGAGACTTCTTTGTGGGGGAGGGGCAAAAAGGTCCATTTGAGTTGGTGATTCCAGGAATAAGGGGAAAAAAAAAAAAAGTAGGGCCGGGGATTTAGCTCAGTGGCACCCCACCTGCCTGGAAAGCGCAAGACCCTGAGTTCAATCTCCGGTACAAAAAAAAAAAAAAAAAGCATCTAAAGTGGGCTTGGAGAGAAGTGTTTCTGCAGTTTGTGCGACACGATAATTTTAAGGAATTAAATACTGATTGATTTTTAGGGTGCTCTTGGCCTCCAGGCTAAGAACTCCTCGTAAGAATGACCAGTAGTTCTCTCCTGCTGCCTTGAAGCTCCAGGTGAGGGTTAAACTCTGGGGCAGGTGGACAGGAAGGGCTAAGGAGATCTAAATCCATCCTCACTCTGGAAAGTAGCCTGTGCGTGGTTTGTCTCCTGATGGGCCCTTCCCTCTGCTGGGGCTGAAAGCGCCTTCCGCCACACCCCGTTTTCTTTCTCTGCGGGATCTAGAGAAAACATCAAAAGGTTTAAAAAAAAATTTTTTTTTAATTGCGAAGCTAAAATTCAAGCGGAAGAGAGACGGCACTACGGCCTGGGCCTCCCTCGCTCCGCCTCTCCGGGAGCCAGAGGCTCCCCGACCCCACTGCACCTGCTGCAGGAGGGCTCACAGCAGCGTCGCCTTGCCAAGGCCAGGGGGCGGAGGGCAAGGGCACGAAATGCAAGGTCGTGTGGTGTCACTTTCTGCATGGGCTCCCAACACATCGCAGCAATCCCGGCAGGTCTCCCGGTGACGGCAATAAACGGGAGTTGGGCAATCCGTGTCCCGGGAACCCCAGGCGCAGCCCAACCCCCTCTCATCTCCTCTAAGACCCGGAAGAATGTCTTGGCCTCGAGAGCTCGCAGACCTCGAGTGCAGTGCAGTGGAGGAAGCGTAACTGGGCGCTGGGCGCTCGGCTCGGGGCCCTAGCTGCGGACCTTCGCGCACAGAGGACCGCACTCACCGAACCGCAGGTTGAGCTGGGTCTGCAAAGCCGCTGTCAATGCGTGACCCGGAAGCAGAAACTCCAGGTGGCAGGGCGCGTTCATTTACGGGACTAAAGGACCGAGTAGGAGGGGCGCCTGCGCACTGACCAGTCGCAGAAAGCCGGGCGCGCCCGCGCAGACACAGGCAACGTACTCTATCCCCCTCGGCTTTAGCTAGCTGCTTTCTTTCTTCCCTGGCCCAAAAGCTGGGAAAGTAGGCGCGATCTCGCGCTGTCGGTCACAGGCTTGGGGCTCGGGCCCTGGTCCGGCGGCAGTAAAGAAGCTCACGAACCCTGGCTGTCAGGCTAGTTCTGTATAGCTGCGCCGGAGTGGCCCGGGCCAGGAGTGGATCCATCCCACCACTCTCCTCTGCTACCCATTGTCTGCACCGGAGTTGGACTCCGGCACCTCATTCGCACAATGGTCCCAGACTTGCTACACTAAACACCGCTTTTGTGCACCAACTCCGCACTGGTTCAGTCACTTAGGAAATGAAACTGTTAGTAAGGAGTGTCTTCGGCAAACAAGCACTAGCCGCATTATTCATGATGTCGGAATGAGCCTATACCCCAAAGAACTCTCATGGATGTTGTCCACCCTCTTTCAAAGTGAACGATAGACAAGACAATCACAACCACCTAAGAAGTGTAGAATTAAAAATATTGAGGGCTAAAAAGCTGTAAATGTTGACTATAACCCTTCCCACGCAGAGATTCTGACACCTCTAAGTGATGTAACTTCCAGTACAAAGCATAAGCACTTCAAAGTCACCACAGCACATGGTGATGCATGAAAAGAGTGAAGCAGCCCACACAGGCCGACGGTAAGCGCTGCGATCTTACTGGCTGCCTGCTAAACCAACGGTGCCCCAGCATCTACTCCCCATAACTTGGTCCAAAAACACCAAAATCAAACCAGTTGAGATCAAAGGAGGCTGCAGGTACTGCATGTGTATCCGTGAGGGGATGGGAACTGACAGCTCTGGACCTATCTTGAAGGGTGAGCCTTCTCTGAGTCTTTGAGGTTTCAAACTCAGGAATTTTGCCATGCAGGAATGTGTCCCACCTCCTGCCGCCATACCGTGGTGAGATTGTCTAAGTTTTCAAAAGAAGCTGAAATCCAGATTTTAAAAAAGGAAAATAAATTCTACCAAATTGCATATATTGGCAATTTTAAAAAATAGAATCATTTTTAAAAGCAAATAACATTTGGCCTGCAAGTCACCTCTTCCAGACCCTGGATTAAAGGCTATTTTGGTCATTGGCAGCTCTGTGAGTGAAGGATTGAAGGCAGCCCTTTGGTTGTGAGGGGTCTGGAGGGTTGACTTGAAGCTGTAATTACATATTAACTATATTGGTTTTTAAAATTTAATTAATAGATTTGCTTGAGAAAGTTTGAAGAAACCCAACTGAGATTACATGGAGATTAGAGATCCCCACCCCTTCAACCATTCCAAGGTTCAAATTCAATGTATGGTAGCATTTTGTTCAAATTCAGTGTATGTAGCATTTTAATTCTGTGCTTCTTGCTTCTAAACTACAAATCTATATTAAGGCCCTAAAGAATACTAAACTTCCAAACACAGAAACTAGATATACTTGAGTTGATGCTGATCCAAAGTGAGGGAATATATTCTGAGAATTTAAGTCCTTCCTGGTCACCAGTGGGGAAAGCCACAGAAAAAAATTAAGCCACCTCCGTGTCTTATCCAGGCTTAAACTCTTTTCAGTCAATGTCTCTCAAATTCCCATCTGTGTCTAAAACTGTGTGATTCACAGGATAGCCCAAGGGTGCATTTTCTCCTAGTCCTCCTTGGATCCTATTTGGCTGAAAGAGGTATAATAATTTCATTCCTTGATAACATGGGCCCAAACCTGCCAAATCACCTTTTTTCCAGATTCAGTAAGGTGATGCTCTGCTTGCTTTCATTCATCGTTGTCTCAGAGTGGAGGAACAGCTTCACACAACTGACCTGTTGACTTCTTCTCTGGCCTTCATCCTATTAAGTTAGCTTAATTACTCTAGGAGAGGCCACTGCTCAGTCTCTGAGAATCCACTGTAGCAAAGGAGCTCCCCACCTGGTTACAGCAGAGATGATACAGTCAAAACAGCTGTAAGTACTACACCTGAAGGGTGGTATCCACCCCCAACGCCTAGGCCAGGTTTTGTGCCTTGGCAGCTCTTGTTTAATGCCATGTGCCAACCAGGGTGGTAGAAAGAGTATGAGACTAGAGTATCAGCTCAGAGATTGATGAGTTATTTCATTGCATTTCTCTGAGTACTAATTTTATAATTTGTAAAGTAAGAGTGTTGGCTAAAATGATCTGTAAATATTCTTCTGTTTCAATAAATTCTGATTCAACCTAGTTCCAAAGTCACAGTGCAAGGCAGGCACAATGCCACTGAGCTGAATCCCTAGCCCTCATCTTGTTTTTATTACAAAAATGTTCAAACGTACAGAAAAATTAGAAAGAATAATGAAGTCCTTATGTTCATTACTGTATTTTATACATTTTTGCCAAAAGTTTAAAATCTAATTTTATTCTTTGTTATTTGGTCATTTTAGGTATTTTCATACAAACTACTCAAACAATATGAGCAATTCCTGCAGCTTTAGGGGATGTTTTACTGTGAAGTCTTAATTTGGCATCTCATAACTTTTCCAAAAACCTGAAATAGCTAATGTGAATTTATCCATTTCTTCTTTGAAAAAAATGACTTTCCCCACTGTATTGTTTCATTTCTCACATTTCTTGCTTGGTAAATGCTAAGGTATACAAGTTCTGAGATGTATCAGTATTTAATCAATGTAAGACTGATTGATTGGAGTGTGCCAGGGCGTGGTAAAATAAGCTTCCCTCTAGGTTATTTTAAAGCATCCCCGACAATACACTGCACAACAAAAGTTTGTTCAGATCCATCCATTCACCAAACATTTACTGAGCACTTTACTTTGTTCCAGGCTCTGTGCTCAGCTGTATAGGGAAGACAGAGATGGAGAGGCACAGTTCCTTATTGTCAAGGTTTGGGAGGTGAATATGAGCATAGTCAATTGCAATTAAAGATGGTTACTCAAAAAGGCTTTTAAGTACAAAGTCAACGTAGAACAGTTCTACCTTATGATCTCCAGAGAGTGTAGAGAGACAGAGACTTATAAAATACAGAGCCAAACTAGCTCTTTCCTATGAATTAGAGAAGGCTATAGCCACAGAGTAGCTGTGAGATCCACCAGTACTCGTGGATCAGCAGGGTTGATGAATGTGTGAATGTTTACCTGCACTAAATGTGGCCCATAGAGGAAGGAGACAACATGGGGTTGCCTTTGGCCTATTCAAAAGAGATATCTAAGAACGGGAAGGGATTCAGTGGCCAGAAGTTAGAGATGGACACAGGAATCTTAAAATCTAGAGCTTATCACAGGCCACCACTTGCTTCTATTTTGTCTGGGCCAGAGGGACTCACGTAAGGGACCACTGATGATAGATGTATTAGTAAGCTTTCTATTACTGGGACAAAATATTTGAGGAAAAACAGCTTGAATGAGCAAAGCTTTATTTTGGCTCATGGTTTCAGGGGTTTCAGTCCATGATCAGCTGGCTCCATTGTTTCTGGCAAGAGAGCCAGAGAGGAAGAGGCCAGGCAGGGATAAGACAGTTCCCAGGGCCGGGAATTTAGCTCAGTGGTTCTGGTGCCTGCCTTGCAAGTGCAAGGTCCTGAGTTTGATCCCCAGTACCAAAAAAAAGAAAAAGAAAAAGACATAGTTCCCACAGGCATACTCTTATGAGCTGCTCTCTTCAACTACATCCTACCTCCCAAGTTTCCATCACCTCCCAATAATGCCATCAAATTATGAATCTATCAATGGACTGATCCACCAGTGAAGTTAGAGTCCTCATGATCCAATCACCTTCCAAAAGCCCTATCTCGGAACACTGCTACTTTGGGAACCAAGGATTCAACACATGAGCCTTTGGGGGAAGATTCCAGACACATATTCTAACCACAAGAATCTTCAAAGAAACTTTAAAAGCTCCTTTCAAAGAAAAAGTCAGTTTTAACCATCAGCCAGATATAGACCTAGCCTACCAAAGAACTGCCCCTCCCCTCAGCCATCCCATCTCCTCCCGCTTTTACACAAGCAGATCAAGCAGCAGTTAGCTAGTGCAGGAGGGGTAAGTTTAGGAGAGAGCTGAAGGCAGATGGTCACCAGCCCCAGGCCTTATATGGCAGATGGGGAGTTCTGTATTAGATTGATAGTTTAAAATGAAAACTGAAGTATTTGGCTACCTTTTTGAACTGGATACATTCTAACTACTAAATCTAGACTGTCTCTTTTATTTAAAGTGGCTATTACTTAAAGGATTGTCAGTTATCAAAGAGTGTACCAAAAAGTCAGGGATCTGCCCAATTTTCCATTCAGGGCAACAGAAGATTATCCCCTCCTCCACAATAAAAAAAATTTAAAAGATGCTAGAAGCCAAAAAAATGAAGTTATGTTTTTATCACATTCCATGAATCTTGCATTCCATATCTAGATTCCATCTCTATATATTTTAGTTGGTTATTTCTGTTCTTCATGTTTTGATTACAAGTGATTCTGTGACTTTGTTTGTTTGTATGCTGGGCCTCCCATAAGACTTTTAGGTCATTATTTTTTTCTTCTCTCCTCTGCTGCTTCCAGTTTTGCATTGAAGAAGTGTCTACTAGATGGTGTTGATTGACAGTACAACTAATGTTTCTATTTTCAGACCTTGGCATAAATTTGAACTAGAAATTTGATAATGATGTTATGGCTGTATATGTGCTGCCGAAGCAAGCACTGTTACGGCTGTAATGATTGTTGCTATTACTGCTA